TGACCCTGGTGTCCCTGGGTCTGAGTTACTTGTTGGTGCTGTGCGTTGGGAGATTCCACACCAAACCCACCGTCCGGCTTTGCCTGGAGACTCGAAGACCTGGGGTGGAGCCCGGTCGTCCCACCTGCAATCCTTGGCTGGACCAGGGAGGTGGACTCCAAGGTGACGGTGACGTGCAGATGGGGCTCTTGTCCCAGTAGAGCTTCCGGCCCCTGGCTCTCCTTCTGTCCTCTCTCCTTCTTCCCTGTCCCCTCTCCCTCCTCCCTGTCCCCTCTCCCTCCTCCCTCCTCCCTCCTCCCTCTCCCTCCTCCCTCTCCCTCCTCCCTGTCCCTCTCCCTCCTCCCTGTCCCCTCTCCCTCCTCCCTCTCCCTCTCCCTCCTCCCTGTACTTCTCCCTCCTCCCTGTCCTCCCTTGTCCCTGTCCCCTCTCCCTCCTCCCTCTCCCTCTCCCTCCTCCCTCTCCCTCTCCCTCCTCCCTCTCCCTTCTCCCTGTCCCTTCTCCCTCCTCCCTCTCCCTCTCCCTCCTCCCTGTCCCCTCTCCCTCCTCCCTCTCCCTCTCCCTCCTCCCTGTACTTCTCCCTCCTCCCTGTCCTCCCTTGTCCCTGTCCCCTCTCCCTCCTCCCTCTCCCTCCTCCCTCTCCCTCCTCCCTCTCCCTCTCCCTCCTCCCTGTCCTTCTCCCTCCTCCCTGTCCCCTCCCTCCTCCCTGTCCCCTCTCCCTCCTCCCTGTCCTCCCTCCTCCTTCTCCCTCTCCCTCCTCCCTCCCCCTCTCCCTCCTCCCTGTCCCTCTCCCTCTCCCTCCTCCCTGTCCCTCTCCCTCCTCCCTGTCCCTCTCCCTCCTTCTTGTCCCCTCTCCCTCCTCTCTCCCCCTCTCTCTCCTCCATGTCCCTCTCCCTCCTCCCTGTTCTCTCTCCCTCTCCCTCCTCCTCTCCCTCCTCCCTGTCCCCTCTCCCTCCTCCTTGTCCTCTTTCCCTCCTCCCTCTCCCTCTCCCTCCTCCTCTCCCTCCTCCCTGTCCCCTCTCCCTCCTCCTTGTCCTCTTTCCCTCCTCCCTCTCCCTCTCCCTCCTCCTCTCCCTCCTCCCTGTCCCATCTCCCTCCTCCCTCTCCCTCCTCCCTGTCCTTCTCCCTCCTCCCTGTCCCCTCCCTCCTCCCTCTCCCTCTCCCTCCTCCCTCCCCCTCTCCCTCCTCCCTGTGCCCTCTCCCTCCTTTCTCCCCCTCTCCCTCCTCTCTCCCCTCTCCCTCCTCTCTCCCTCCTCCCTCCCCCTCTCCCTCCTCCCTCCCCCTCTCCCTCCTCCCTGTGCCCTCTCTCTCCTCCCTCCCCTCTCTCTCCTCCCTCCCCCTCTCCCTCCTCCCTGTGCCCTCTCTCTCCTCCATGTCCCTCTCTCTCCTCCATGTGCCCTCTCCCTCCTCCCTCCCCCTCTCCCCCCTGTCCTGGTGCCTCTCCACCGTCCCTCCCTGGCTGCCCACTGACCCCAGCGTTGCCTCTGCAGGGAGCCCTGGTGCAGCGGAGCCTCTGGGGCCTCTGTCCTGGCTGGTGTGGGGTTTCCGTGGACACTCAGGAGGACAGGCCAGAGGACGGACTTGGCCATTCCCCCTTAATCAGGGCCTCATGAAGTCGCGTCCATCCCTGACACCGGCTGCGGGCTCGGCTGGGCGGGGACTGTGCCCGCTCCCTGGCTGCGCCCGTCCTTCTCTGTGACCCAGGACAGCTGGCACCCCTCTGTGGGGTACTGTCTTTCTGACAAATGGACCATTACTTTAAGTCCCAACCACTCCTGGGCTCACGGGGAAGCCGGACGGGCAGGGCCAGCCCTCGGCCGGGGGAGCCTCCTTCCAAAGGTTGGCTGGGTCCTTGGAAGGCCGTTCGGAGGGACGCTGCGTCAGTGATGGGGCCTGTCCCCTGGAAATCCCAGGCGTGGCGGGGCGGCAGGCTGGAGGACCCTCCGGGAGCGGCTCTGCGTTGTGACCCTGGTGCTCCACAGAGGTCCCGCTTCGGCAGTTGCTGCCTCCTCCAGGAAGCCTCCCTGGCTCTCCCACGAAGTCACCTCCTCGCCTCCCTGTCCCTGTCTGTGGTGTCCTGGGGCCACGCCAGGGAGCCCTGTCCACAGCTGTGCCTGCCACCGTGGACTGTGTTTCCAGCCGTGTGCGGGGACCGTCCTGTTCCTCACACCTCTGTGGGTGGTACTCCTGCCACCCGCGCCTGTCGGGACCTGGGGCTTGGCCAGGTGCGGGGACTCTTCTGGGGCGGCCAGTGCAGGCTGGCGCATGCCGTGGGCCCGGGGTCTGCGCTGTCCTCCCCCCACCCTTTCCCTCAGGGCGTCCTGCAGACCAGGCCCCGGGCGTGCGGCTGACCAGGGTGGGAGTGCATTTCTCCTCCAGAAGGTCACGGGCGCCCTGGTTCAAGGACAGCGTGGCCCTGGTTCAAGGTCGGCGTGGAGACGTCTCTGCCCTCACCTGGCCTGCTCCTGTGCTGCAGAAGCCGACTCCCTCCTCCCTGTGTGTGGAGCTGGGGACCGACGGCCTGCAGCAAGCCCTGGGGACCGAGAGGACCTGTGGCCCCTCCTGGCGGCTCTCGCGGCTCCCTTGTGCCCAAGGGCCCACCTCCAAGACCTTATTCTAAGGAAACCTTGGTCTTTTGTTCTTCCCGTCGGCATGACCATTACACTGGCCTCGGATGGAGGGGACCTTCCTGGCCTCCTCTGTCCCCTTCTGTGACACCAGCTGGGGATCTGGGTCCGAGGAGCCCATGGTCCCTGCAGACCCTCGTTCACCTCGCTGCAAACATGGGGGTCTCTGCCGTCTGAGACCCTGAGAGTCACACGTCCTTTGTAACTAATCCTGTAGTGGAAACAGGGATAAACTGGTGTCTTTCCCACTGGCCTGGGGCCGTGGGGGCTCGCGGCATCTCTAGGAAGGGGCGGCGGGGACACTGCAGACCCCGGATATTCGCCCCGTGGCTACCCGGGACTCACCACGGCAGCTTCCTGCTCAGAGCTCTGGCGAGGACTTGGGGGTCCAAGGGGCCAGCGCCCGGGTCTGCTCAGGATGCCGCGGGGTCTGTGCTCGCGGGGCCGGGCACAGGTCGCCTCCAGACTGCAGCGTCGGCAACCCCGGGAGCGGCCCCTTTAGGTACTTGATAAAATACGTGACGCCTGCCTTCCCGACTCTGATGGGTGCTGGGGACAGAGCGTGGGGGGCCTTGGCCTGGAGCCAGAGGTGCCACTGAGCCGTCCAGCCCCGAGCGTTCCGAATGCCCCGTGCGGGGCGTCAAGTTGCGCCCATCCTGGTGCCGTCACCGCCATCCTCCTCCAGGACTGTTCCGTCTTCCCAAACTGAGATTCTGTGCCGTCCAAGAGGAGCCCGTGTGGGCACCTGCCCCAGCCCCTGGCAGCACCCTTCTGTGCCATCTTGGGTCTCCTCGTGGCCTCACGTGGGGGGACTCCGGCCACAGCATCTGTCTTGTGCCTGGGTTATGTTCCACTGGGCATCGTGTCCTCGAGGCACACCCTGTAGTGGCCGGTGTCGGGATCCCCTCCTTTTCAAGGCTTAATAGTACTCCTGTGTGGGGATCCCCTGCACCTTGCTCACTTGCGTCTGTCTGCACCCTTGGGCCATCCTCACATGCTGTTGTGAATCGTGCTGCTGGGGACGGGGGTGTAGGATGGGCACTTCCCAAAAGCCAAGTGTCCGGGCCTGTGCTGACGTTAGAGGGGTGTGGGGTTCCGCTGCTGTCATCCCTGTGAGGGGCAGAGGGTGGGTCCCCAGGGCTGATGTTCAACCCCAGGGCTGCAAACCCCCCAGGTATCCCGTTTCCCAATCCCAAAGAAAGACCCGGAGAGCGCCTCAGGGAGATCTGGGGGCTCCCCTCCCCGCACACTCCTGGGCGGACACCGGGAGGCCAGCAGCCCGCGAGGTGTGCTGGTGCCTTCCTCCCCTCACAGCTGGGGCTCTGCTGTGGTCCTCACCTGGACGCTGGGCCCCGGGCAGTGGCGGCCTCTCTGGTTCCCCCCGTGGCACGTCTTCAGAGGCCCCTCCCTGCTGCCGGCTTTCCCAGGCCGGAGCCGTGTCTGCCCCACGGGGGGCCCACAGGGGGCCTGCAGCCTGGCGCGGCCGGGCCCTTGGCTGGGACTTGACGCCCACCATGTCCTGCAGCCCAGGAGGGTTGGGGGCTGGGAATTTTGACAGTTTTATCTGAAAGTGCTGGTGGGACTGGCTTGGGGTCCTGTGGTGGCCAGGGCGGGGCCCCAGAGCCATCATCCCAGGGCCACCTGTCACCGGTTGCTGGGAGGCGGGGAGCTCAGTCTCCAGGTCTGAGAGGCTCGAGGTCTGAGGCAGGGGCTCTTACTCTGGCTACGCTCCTTCAAGGAGCAGGGGCCTTGGGCAGAGTGGCCGGCGCTGTCCCTGGAGGCGGTCAGTGGAGAAGACCAGCTTGTGATGTGAGATGAGGGACTACAGGATCCCAGAGGTTCTCTGCTGTAAAGATGGCGGGTGCCCAGACTGCACCCCACGCCCCCCGATTCCGGGTCTTGGGCTTGAGTCTGCCATCCAAAGTGCAGCTGGGGTGACGGCCATGGTTGGACCGTGGAAGAACGTGCTGTCATCTGGCGGCACAGCACAGGGCCCTCCAAGTGGGGACGGGGACGGCTCTGCCTCCAGGAGCCCTGATGCCGCTGTCCAAGTGCTGCCCCAGCAGCTCCGGGCAGGTCCAGAAGCCCCTGGAAACATCTGGAAGCATCCAGAAGCTTCTGTGCTTTAGTCACGGGCTCCAGGGAGCAGCCAACACAGACTGGCCGGGCTCGGTGGCAGCTGGGAGCTGACCGGTGTGGGGGGAGTGCTGGACGTGTCTGGGTTGGGACGTTCTCCCTCGGACACCGTGGGCCCCGTGGGAGCACTGGCTGATGTTGGTGGCGGGTCGGCCAGCTCCCCTCCCCTCCACGGTCGGTGCCGGGGCCGTGCTGGTCCATTCCTGCTGACAGGCCTTTCTTTCCGTTTTCCCTCAACAGTGAGTGACCTGCAGGAAGAAGGCAAAAGTGCCATCAACTCTCCGATGCACCCAGCCTCGGTGGATATTCACCCTGAAGACACGCAGCTAGGTACGGGGGTCTCCGCTGCGGGCGGGGGTGTCCTGGCCTGGAAGCGGCCTGGGTGGGTAGCTCTGGCCTCGGTCAGACTCCCCGAGGGCTGTGGCTGTCCTTGCCACAGGCTGGTGCGTTTGTCTTTCCACACTCGGGAGGGATTCGGGGACTGCGTGGCCTCAGCTGCGTCCTCCCGCCTGACCTCACCGAGGACCTCTGGTTTCACCTGGAGCCCTGACCGGGGCAGCCCTGTGCCCATCTTAATTGCTGGCATCTAACCAGTGGCTCTCTTGACGCTCAGGTCCCACCTCACACAGCAGACGATAGAGAAGCCCTGGGTTTAAAGGGGCCATCAAGGAGTCGGTTCAAGTGCAGGGGCACTGGGTGGTCAGCTCCGTGCTGGGCTGGGCCCCGAGTGTGGGTGTCGGAGCAAAGGCCCTGAGGAGAGCCGCGGAGAGGAGGCGCTGTGGCAGGGGGTCTCTGGGCCGAGTCAGGACACGTTCCCTGGGTGGGAGCTCCCTTGGCAAGGTCCTGGGCAGAGGCTGTGACGTGTACCCAGGTGGCCCAGGACAAGGTGACACGGTGTCCCAGGTGCAGTTTGAGGTGTCCCTCCTTTCCTGTGTCTTGGGTCAGGTGGCTGCATCTGACGTGTGGTAGACTCACGCCTGGTGTCTCCGATGGGCCCTGGGAGTCCACCTGTCCCCGTGTCCCTGGGGTAAGCACAGAGAGGTCACTTTCCTCCTGTGCCGTGGCGCTGCGGCTGGCTGGGCAGCATGTACGCGGGGACCCCTCGTCCTCAGCATTTGTACCCACGAGGGAAGGACCCAGGTGGGCTGCAGCTGGAGCCCCCTCTCTGTGTGGAGTCCAGGTCGGAGTCGAGGTGGGGGTCGGGGGTCCACAGGGAAGAGCAAGCCCCCAGCTTTCTGCCCCCTCTTCCCATTAGGTTTATTCACTTTCAGGGGTGGGGAAGCCCTGCAGGGCCACCGGGCAGGGCCACTGGGCAGTGCCAGGCCTCACAGAAGGGGGGGAGCGAGGGGAGAGCCTTGGTGGCTTTCTGAGCATTGCTGGGTGGGGCAGGCCGGTGGCTGGGCTGTTGGAATCATTCCGTGGGCCCTGGGGCTGCAGGTGTCTTGAGTTCTCTGCCGCCAGCCGGGGTGGCCTGGAGGGGACCTGGAGGGGGGCCTGGAGGGGGGCCTGGAAGGTGGCCTGGAGGGGGGCCTGGAAGGTGGCCTGGAGGGTAACCTGGAGGGGGGCCTGGAAGGTGGCCTGGAGGGGGGCCTGGAAGGTGGACTGTAGGGGGGCCTGGAGGGTAACCTGGAGGGGGGCCTGGAGGGGGACCTGGAGGGGAGCCTGGAGGGGGGCCTGGAGGGTGGCCTGGAGGGGGACCTGGAGGGGGGCCTGGAAGGTGGCCTGGAGGGGGGCCTGGAGGGTAACCTGGAGGGGTGGCCTGGAGGGGTCCTGGAGGGGAGCCTGGAGGGGTCCTGGAGGGGGACCTGGAGGGGTCCTGGAGGGGGTCCTGGAGGGGGACCTGGAGGGGGGCCTGGAGGGGGGACCTGGAGGGGGCCTGGAGGGGGACCTGGAGGGGTCCTGGAGGGGGGCCTGGAGGGGGTCCTGGAGGGTTGGCCTGGAGGGGGGACCTGGAGGGGGGCCTGGAGGGGGTCCTGGAGGGGGGCCTGGAGGGGGTCCTGGAGGGTTGGCCTGGAGGGGGGCCTGGAGGGGGGCCTGGAGGGGGACCTGGAGGGGTCCTGGAGGGGGTCCTGGAGGGGGACCTGGAGGGGGGCCTGGAGGGGGACCTGGAGGGGGGCCTGGAGGGGGGCCTGGAGGGGGGCCTGGAGGGGGGCCTGGAGGGGGACCTGGAGGGGGGCCTGGAGGGGGCCTGGAGGGGGACCTGGAGGGGGACCTGGAGGGGGCCTGGAGGGGGGCCTGGAGGGGGACCTGGAGGGGGTCCTGGAGGGGGACCTGGAGGGGGGACCTGGAGGGGGGCCTGGAGGGTGGTCACTAGCAGTGACCTTGTCCCCTGGGGACGGAGGGCTGGAGCCGAGGCTGGGTCTGGGCCTGGGTGGGGTGACGCCTGCTCTCCAGGCATGGCCAGCCCTGGGCTGTGAGGCTGGCTGGGGAGAGAGGGAGGCTGGAGGAGACAGCTGGGAATGAGCTGGGGAAGGGGATCCGGAAGGTGCCGACCTTGATCCCAGGACAGAGGGGGCTGCTGCAGCCTGGGCAGGGCCCTGAGTGTCCCTCCCAGTCGCTGGTCGGCGGGTTCCAACAGCTTTCCCAGTCTGTGAGTTGGACATTTATTGCTGTGAAGTCTGCATCGCGTCTGGGTGAGGGCGAGCTTCACTGATGGACGTGGACAGCTCCTCTGCCCCGTGGGACCTGGTCTGGCCCTGGATCCTGGTCTCAGTGGCTTCCTGGCCGTCCGCCTGTGCCTTGAGGGCACCTGGTCCTGCCTGAGCCTCTGCTCACCTTCTTTCCCTCTCCTTAAGGGGGAGGCTGCTGTGGCCTCTCCCAGCTCTGGACCCTGGGCCTCTGGCCACACCCTCTGCCCAGGTCCCCCAGCTGGACAGGGCTGCCTGAGGCTCCTCTCCTGCCCGGTCAGCGTCCTCCTGTCCTGGCTAGGTCTGTGGGTCTCCCTCCAGGGTCCTGCTTCCTCCCGCTGCCCCGCCTACTCCCCCTGGCTTGGCGGGGTCCAGGCGGAGTCCAGGGGGAGGAGCCAGAACACAGGGAGCCGGTCAGGACGGGTCAGGATGGGTCAGGACAGGTCAGGACGGGTCAGGATGGGTCAGGACAGGTCAGGACGGGTCTGGATGTGTCAGGATGGTCAGGACGGGTCAGGACGGTCAGGACGGGTCAGGACGGTCAGGACGGGTCAGGATGGGTCAGGACAGGTCAGGACGGGTCTGGATGTGTCAGGACAGTCAGGACGGGTCAGGACGGTCAGGACGGGTCAGGACGGTCAGGATGGGTCAGGATGGGTCAGGACGGGTCAGGACGGGTCAGATGGGTCGGATGGGTCAGGACGGGTCAGGACAGTCAGGACGGGTCAGGATGGTCAGGACGGGTCAGGACGGTCAGGACGGGTCAGGACGGGTCAGATGGGTCAGGACGGTCAGGACGGGTCAGGACGGTCAGGATGGGTCAGGACTGTCAGGATGGGGCCGGGGCGTCGCTGTCCGGCGTCATTTTTTGTCGTTATTTCTGACATTTCTCGTTTGGGCTGTTTTACATCCGAAGTTGCAGGATAATTTTTTTCCCAACTAACACCTCAAACCTCTCCCTGTGTTCCTGCCACCGGCCCTCGGTGACCGTCCCAGCGGCCGCAGGAGCTCTCTAGGGCAGGGCCCTTTCTGCTGTGCCAGGCCCCAGTGGACGCACCGGCCTCCTTCTCCCCGTGGTGGTGGCCTGGGCTGGTGGGGGCAGAACGGTGCATGTGACCCTGTCCCCTGGGCGAGGCCCCTCCCCACGCTCTGTGGTCTGGTTTTGACTTAGAAGGGTGGTCCCCGGCTGTGGGCCTTATGTGTGGGAGTTGGCCGCCCCGTCCCTGCCAGCTCACAGACATGTGGCCTTTTGTCCCCGGCAGAGGAGAATGAGGAGCGCACGATGATCGACCCCACCTCCAGGGAGGACCTCAAGTTCAAGGAGCTGGTCAAGGTGAGGCCTGACGGTGGGCGCTCCTGTGGACAGGGCTGCTGAAGACGGGCAGCCACCGGGTGCTCAGCCAGGGGTCTTCCGAAGCCCCAGGTGGCTGGCTGCCCCCTGGCTCCCAAAGTGTGCTGGGGACACCTGCCTCAGCGTCCAAGTCCCCAGTCCCCAGCTCTGGCCCCGTTCTCCTGGAACTCTTCCCCAAGACACAGACGCCATGGCTCTGACGGAGCAGAGAACCCGTATTGTGTGTGAGCCTCGCGCCCACACGGTCCCCCTGACCCTCCCCCGGGGCTGCGGATAGAGACCCCTCAGGTGTTCGCTCCTGGCCCACCTCGCCTGAATGAGCGCCTCCCTGGCCGGGAGCTGGGTGGAAAATACTAGAAACAATGTTGCACTGTTGCTGAAGTGTGCCACCTGGTCAGGCCAAGAGGGCGACGTCTGTGCTGAACAGATACAAATGCCTTTTTTCTTAAAATTATTCCCTGAAGAGTCCAGTGTCACCATATGGAACTAGCAGTGACACCGGCGAGGTCTTGTAAGTCTTCTAGAGGCCCTTCCAGGCGTACGGGAGGGTTTCGTAGGTTCCACGCAAATAAATACAGTATTTAAAAGAAGGCGCTTCAGCCAGGCACAGGGCACACGCCTGTAATCCCAGGGACCAGGAGGCTGAGGCAGGAGGATGGCAGTTCAAAACCAGCCTCAGCAACTTAGCGAGGCTCTATGCCACTCAGGGAGGCCCTGTCTCTAAATAAAAAATAAAGGGGCTAAGGATGTGGTTAGTGGTAAAGAGCTCCGGGGTTCAGTTCGTGGTACCAAAAAAACAAAGGACTTCAACAGCTTAGGGTATCCACAGGGGTCCTGGGACAGTCCCAAGACTGCTGGGGGACACCCCCTGGGATGTGGTGCCAAGGGGTGACGGTGGCTCTGGGGTCAGCTCCCAGGTCCAGATCCTGACTCGGGTGCAGGTGGAGCTGGGCAGGTGCTGGGCACCCTCACGCTCCTGAGGCCACCGGGCGCCAGGAGCAGGGCAGGCAGGAGCGGAGGGACGCTGCTGGCCCGGCTGCCTGTTGAGAAACGGGACTGGCGTGGGCTCCGGGGTACAGACCACCTGGACGTCTTCCCCGTCCTGGCCGCTGCTGCCCCGTCGATGAGTCTGGCTTCTTCCACAGCTCAACTCCTTCTGGGTGGACGGCAAGGGCTGCCCGGGCAGGAGGTGGCCTCACGAATGAGGCACTTTGTATTTTTAACGATTCTCCAAAGAGGACAGTGGTCCGAGCCCTCCAGCCGAGGAAGACTCTCACGCCGGGGGAAGATGGAGAGCCGCGTTGGCCTTCGTCCTTGATGGCCGGCGCAGGGCTCCTCCATGCTTGGGTTTCTCTAGGGCAGAGGGTCTCCCGGGACTCCCGCAGGGCCCTTAGGACCACCCCTGATTGCTGCTGGGGCCAGCTTCAGGATGGGGGCTGGTCTTGGAGGGCTGACCAGTCATGATGCTGGGAGCCATTAGCCAAGTAGGTATGACAATTTCCTTGCCAGCGTACCCCATGTTGCAGTGACATTGAATGTAGGTGACCTTGCTCAAGGACCAAGGCAGATTAGGGTGTCCCGGTTTTAAGATAATGGGAGGTTGACACTGGACCTCTGGGGAGGCGCGAGGAGCCCGATTCCCGGTGGCCCTGTGGCTGCCTAACGAGCGCAGCTCTGGACAAGTGGGAATGGGGGTCAGTGAGGCCCCAGGAGGGGTGTGAGGAGGGGGCTGGACTCTGTGCCCACCCCGCGCCCTCCATCCCTCCCTAATGGACGTTATGATGCTTTCAATGTTGCGTGCCCTGCAATCGCCAGCCCTGTAAAGCTCTGCTGAATTCCGGAGGCCAGTCTCTGAAATGACCCGACCCAGGGTGGGGAGGCCCCGCCGGCCGTCTGAGGGGCAGAGGGGCAGGTGTTCTAGGGAGTGGGGCCAGCCTGGGGGGACGGTGCTCTTAACCTGTGGAACCCCAGTTTGGGTGATTAGGGTCACTGTCAAGTTGGGGGACAGAGAGTCAGAGAAGTGCTGGGAACAGTGTGTGTTTGGAGTTGAAGAAAAACCACGTGAAACTTCCGCGTGCTGGACAGAAGCCGCCCCTCTGGACCCCGGAGCGTGTCCCCCAGCCCACTGGACGGTCTTCCTCCCCTTGGCGTCTGGGGAGAAACCACCTGGGGCTGAGGCTGGGGCTGCGGGGCCTCACGGAGGCGCCTGCCGTGCCCCCAGCTGCCAGCCCAGGTGGCCTCCTGCCCGGCACCGTGAGCGGGCGTCCTCGGTGGGCGCAGCGGCCAGGACCGCGTCTGGAAGGGGTGAGAAGATGACAGTCCCAACCCCCGGAGGCCGACTGCAGACCCGATGGCGGTTCAGGAGGAACGAAGGAGGAAGAAATTTTTTACTCGAGTTAAAGCAAGTTCATAAAACCAAGGTGACCGCGAGGACATGATTGATCCATGTCCTGGACACTCACCCGCGGGACCCGGGTGTGCAAATGAGCACGTCCCTAAAAATAACGCCCTGTGCTACCTTTAAAAGGTCTTGTGCAGAGCAGAAGACAAGACGGATGGTCCGGGAGCTCCCGGGCGCGGTGACTCTGAGCTGGCGCTGGCTGGCTCTCCCCGGAGCTGACCGCTGGGTCTGCGGCACGGGTCTGGTTCTGGTCTCTGTTGTTTTCTGTCTGGGCTTGGCCCAGGGCAGGATCCAGATGTGATTTATATCGTTTTTAGGTTTTAGCTTCTTCCTGCAGAAACATCCTCTCGGGGGACGGTGCCCTGGGCCAGGCCTGGGAACCAAAGGTCTGTGGGCCCAGGAGGCCTCCCCAGAGTGTGGTCAGCGGTCCTGCTGTCTGTTTGGGCCCCCCCTGTGCTCCGTTCCTGCCCCTTTCCACAAATAAATAAATAAAACACAAGTTGAAAGAAGAGAAGGAAGGAGGAGGAGAGCAGTAGCCCTCATGCAGGGCCCAGATCGGGCCGGGGTCCTGGGTGCAGGTCTCAGGGCTGTGGCTGCGGGAGTCGGTTCTGGGGCCCAGGCTCGTGGGACTCCTGGGTGCTGGTCCTGTATCTGTCCTGGAAAAGGAGCCCCTTCAGGGGTTGACTTGGAGGGGCCCCCGGATCCCGAGGCAGGAGGGTGTGTGTGTTTAGAGGCGTCTGGGTTAGGTACAGCGTTGGAGGTCATGGAGGGCACAGAGAGGGCCGAGGCCAGGTGGTCCCCAAGGAGAATCCCCTCGAGGAGACCACAGCCGTGGACAGAGTGGAGGACAGAAGCCAGGAGCCAGAGGTTGCTGTGATGGAGAGGAGAGACCCGGAGGGCAGTGGGCAGCCACGGGGCCCAGGAGGGCAGGGTGGTGTGGCCGGCTCTGTCCTCCTGCCTGTTGGGAGGTCCTGGACTGGACTGTGCCCTGTGTCATCTCTGGGAGGGGCCGGCCACTGCCGTTCAGAGAGGTTACTGGGGCCAGTTAGATGGCTCTGTCCATTTCGCTCGCCCGGGGGACGTGTGGACGACCAAGGCCGCTCAGGCTGCGCCTCCCGTCCTGGGAGCAGGGCTGCTGCAGGCAGGGCTGGCCGGGGAGCGCTGCTCCGGGACCCGCCAATCAGCAGAAGCAGCCCCAAAGCACCACCCGGAGCCCAGTGGGGGAGTCTGTTGAGAAAAGGCCTGAGAGGAAGAGGCTGCCTGGAAAGAGGGAAGTTCACCTCCACAGGCAGACGGGAACGTGGGGGCCTCAGCCGCACTCTTCACAGCACCAAAGGGCAGCAGCAGTGACCCAAACGCACAGCGACGGATGAGAGGGTCCACAGCACGTGCGTGCAGTGGAATAGTATGCAGCCATAAAGAAGGAACAGGGTGGACCCATGCTGCAACGTGGGCAGAGCTGGACAACAGGAGGAAGAAGGAAGAGAAGCCCGTCCCAGAAGGCCAGGAGCCTGAGGCCACAGGACAGAAGACAGGTCCTGGTTGGGAGGGGCCGAGAGGGACAGATGGGGCAACTCTGAGTGCGAACGGGGCTTCTGTTTGGGGCGGTGGCGAGGTCCTGAAGTGGACGGGGCTTTTGCCCGACTTTGAGGTCGTACCACACCCACTGACGGTGTGGCAGTGGATCGTCTCTCACTAAAGCTGTTTTATAAAGTGCTGCAGGAAGCAGGGGCTGCGAGCTGGCCAGAGGCCAGACTGACCCTCCTGCCACAGCCTGGGGCTCCCGCAGCCCTGGGGGGGGCCAGGGAGGGTGTCTGACGGCCGCTTCCTGCCTGGGGGCCGGGGGTGGCAGTACCAGCACTCACTCCGTGCCCCCGCCTCCCTGCCACCGTCTCTCCTGCTGAGGGAGGGCACTGTCACCTCACCTCATGCTCCGGCAGGAAGGGGGCACGTCCTCACCCGGCGCTGGAAGCTCCCTGGGCAGCCCCGGCCTCCAGGGCAGGTGCGCGGGCTGCGTGGGCTGGGAGAGGCCTGTCCGGTGGCCATCGTGGTGTGGGCTGCGCGGGTGGCCGTCCCTTCCTTGGCTCACGGCCTGCTCCCCCAGGTCCTCCTGGACTGGGTCAATGACGTGCTGGTGGAGGACAGGATCATCGTGAAGCAGCTGGAGGAGGACCTCTACGACGGCCAGGTGCTGCAGAAGCTGCTGGGTGAGTGGCAGAGCCCGGGCTGGGCCACCGTCCCCACAGGGCCACCCCGGCCGATGTCCTGACAGGAAGGGGTCCAGGGACAGTGGCCTCACGCTTGGGGTGTGGTTCAGGAGGGAGGCGGGAGTGGAGGCCGCAGTGCCCCAGCTCCTTCCTGTGTCACTGGGGACAGAGCGCCACCCTGAACAGCGCACGTGGCACTCAGCGTGGCCGGCGCCCTGTCTGCGGTCACTGGGAGGACTTAAAATGAGAAAGACCACAGAGCAGCTGGCCAGGGTGGCTGCCGTCTGGCTCCCTGGGGTCCCCGGGTGACTGGAGCCTGGCACATTTGTGGGTGGGGCGGGGAAGGGTCCTGCAGATTGGTGACCACGTGGACGGGGCCACTTCAGTGGGAAAGAGGGGGGGAGGGTGACGTGCGTGGGGCCTGCTGGCCTCGGTGCCCTGGACCCCGGCCCGCTGACTGCGGCATGGCTTCCTGTCCTCAGGACGCTCTGGGGTGTCTTCAGGGCCAACACCTGGGAGAACCTGTTAATGTGCCTCTTCAGTGTCACCCCGAGACCCCAGGCCCCCGCGTCGGGTGGGGTCGGCAGACCGGCATCAGGGCCTCCTTCCTCCCAGCACCCCCCTGTGCTGGACCCCAGGGCAAGCCTCGTCCTCCTGCAGAGGCCACTCCCTGGGGACGGGGGCGGGGCAGAGGTGGGGCGGGGGCTGCAGGACCCTGGGGGGCGGCGGGGACCACCGAGTGGAGAGAGAGCGGCTGGGGGCGCAGACGAGATGGGCTGCCTGGAGGAGTTGCCCTGGGGCTGGAGTAGGAGGGGGGCCTCTGCCCAGGGAGGGAGGCCGGACACCCAGGGCGGCCTCTGCAGCATGAGGGTGTGGGGAGGCTGAGTCCTTCACTCTGGGCGGGGTCTGCACACGCGATATAAATGGCCCTGCCACCGTCTCACCTGCTGAGGGAAGGCGCTGGGTCACATCACCTCCTGGACGGCCGGGGAGTGTGCGGAGCCACACTGAGTGACCACGCCCTCCAGTCCTGCTGCCCACGGGCATCTGAGAGATCGCTGAGTCTGGCACAGTGGTGCTGTGACTCGGAACTTGGTCTTGTCCCCCCCCACTCCGGTCTCAAGGCCAGTCTTCTGAGGAGGCGTGTCACCCTGGGCTGAGCCACGTCACCTGTTCTGCTGCAATCCCACCCCTTGCCCTGTTTGGGATAGAATGTTCCATGGAAGTGCCCTGGTGTGTCCCCTTCTCTGCTCTGCCTTTGGCTGTGGCTTCCTAGATGTCACTCAACCTGCTGACAGTGGGCATCACTAAGCTAGACTCAGCCCCCCAAACCTGACCCCTGGCCTCATTTGAATGGCTTCTCCCCCATAAAAGAGGTCAGCAGTGCTCGCTCTTTTCACTGACCCCCACGGTCAGAGCAGCCGTCACGGGACCCAAAGAAGAAGGCGCCTCTGTCTCTGTGGGTTGTTTCGTGCAGCCCAGTCCCTGGGGTGACCCTGGTGTTGTAGTCGTGAGGAACGTGACAGGAGGGGTCCCCTGTCCTCCAGACTGCTCTTGAAGGGAAGCTGTGGTCACGGTGAGGTCACCCGCTCCTTTGATCAGGGGCTGGCAGTGCCAGGGCGGGTCTAGGCGGCCTAGGCTCCGGAGACACGGGGTGAGCACGAGGGCCACCAGGTGTGTGTTCCAGCCGAGGGTGGACAGAGGACGAGGTGCATGTGGGCGGTTCCACCTGAAGCATAAGGAGCCGCTGTGAGGGGCAGGGAGCCCGGGGGAGAGCAGCCTGTGGGTGCGGGGGCCGTTGTGGTGCTGGACAGCCAGGGACCCCGCCCAGGAGCCGTCCTGCGCACAGGACAGGGAAGGACATCCAGGCCAAGGCTCTGACGCAAGGAGGAGCCTGTTGTGTAGACGGACAGGGTGGGGGGGGCAGCCGTGCAGACGCAGTCGTGAGACGAGGCTGGGAGGACAGATGGGGCCAGATGGCGTCCAGCCTGGGAAGCAGCGCTTCTCTCCCACATGACAGGAGGCCACTAGAGGCCCTGAGCAGGGTCCTGACATGGTCTCAGTGGAGATTTAAAAGGCCACGTGGGCTTCTGGGTGCAGAGTAGATGGGAAGGAGGGTCAGGAGTTGGCACTGGGACGTTGACCAGGTTGTCTTGCAGCTCTGACCAGGGCAGGAGTGTGACAGGGACAGTGTTCTGGAGGTGACAGCTGCCCGGGGAGGAGCTCTGCATCCTGAAGTCCACTGCTGGGCAGGAGTCTGGAGTCCAGCCGCAGCGTCCGTGTGCGCTCAGTGTCCTGGATTGGATGGCGTCACCTGGAAGAGGGGGCTCCAAATTCCTTATTTGACTGAACTTCAGGTGGCCAAGAAGGGACATCAGTTTGGCTGGGGCAGGATCCGTCTTAGGATGATTCTGGGGTTCCAGGATGAATCTGAAATGTCCCTCAGACCGTTTCATAGTTATCGTGACTTTGTGGTGAAGGGTTAGTGGGTGGGTGCCAACGTCATGCTGTCCAGTGGAGCTGACTTCCTCGGGTGCTGGTGCACAGTCATTCCCAGCAGCCGGGTGCTGGTCACTCTTTTCACACTGGACATGTGAGCTGGTGGAGACTGTCAACTGAGGAGTCCAGAGCAGCACACTGACCTTATCTGTCACTGTCCTCAAGGTACAACGGGTGGTGAAGCAGCCTGGGCTCTCAGCTTCCCTCAGAAGGACTGGTGGCCGTGAAGACTTAGCTCCTCGTTGACTCCGGGCCTCGGGGATCTGGCTGCTGGGGGGATGTTTGATTGAAGCAGATGCTCAAGTTGGTCTTTTCTCCCTACCTGGAACAGACACTTCCTAGTGTCTTCATGAGCAAACTTGAGTGCTCTTCTGAAATTTTTTTTTGTCTTTTTAAATGTTGATTTACTTCTTTGTTTTTGCTTTTAATTCTTCTGCATGCGCATGTGGCCCCACCTATCTCATCTCAAGAAAAAAAAAATGTCCCCAGGCCTTGCAGAGTGGCTGTGAGGTTCAATGACCGGATCTCAGGATCACAGGACAGGCTTGAATTTGTGTCACATCAGCCGCGGTGGGGTATGAACAATGCCGTCCCCCACCCGCGTCAGGGCCATCCTTTGGAGCAGGCGTCCTTGTCCTCTGGCTGCACTTCACGTCCTTTTGGTTCCCTCTTCAGTTGGCCCCGCGAATGCAGCACTTCCTCGAGCTGCGGTGGCCGCGAGTCTTGCTGCGTGCCTTTGTCTTGTGCCCAGCGTGGCGGAGGCTCCCTTGGCTCCGCAGCCTGGTCACGGTGGCCAGGCTGCTGGTCCTCCTTGTTTGAGGGTCCCCAATAAGTACTCGAAAGGCCACTTTAAAGTCTCTTGTTTGTCAGTGGGTCAGTGCCCCACGTTGAAGACAAGGACAACGTTCAGGGATAGTCAGCTGTCGACAGAACACCCCGACGTCGTGCCAGGTGTGGGACCTGTTGTGACCCTGACGAGACGTGTTGGTAGCCCACGTGACTCTTGAGCGAGGCCCGGGATTCCAGGAGAGATCTTGCTGCAGGCATTTCACTCCTTGGCTACCAAAGGCAAAATCTAAAACCAAATAAGGGATTTTGGCCGAGTACCAAGGCCAGAGTTGCCGCCTGTGCGTCTGAGGAGTGGGCTGTGGTGGTCAGCACGAGTGGTCAGGAAGAGGAGGGGCCAGCAAAGCAGCTGGGCAGGATCGGCCACCAGGAGTGTGGAGTCGAGGACAGAGAGGGCCTCTGGGCTTGGCCACGTGGAGATTGCCGCGGGTGAGGACCCGGTGGGCGGTCCCAGAGGAGCTGCCAGTCTCTGCGGCAGGCGGGTTTCTGGGGCACATCTCTGCTGCGTTGGCTCTTTATGGGCAGAGGGTGCTGTGCCGACGGCCGTGGGGGCTCCCGGGCCGGCTACTGCCTCTGCTAGCCCACCCCCCCACTGCCTCTGAGTTTGCAGCCCCCGTTGCGTCACCATGGCCTCCTGACTCCCTGAGGTCCGGCGGTTTTTCTCTGTCTCTTTCTGAGCTGGGAAGAGAGTCTCAGCAGTGGGCAGGGTGATGTCTGGTGGCCCGGCAGCCACGTCCCTTGTTCTCCGCCACATGGAGTGCCACCCAGGACCCAGCCCAGGCCGCCCCAGGCACCGCCAGCTTCCCTGGTCTCCGTTACGGCTGGGTGTGTCCCCCCAAAACTCACACGCTAAAGCCCATCCACCCCACGGGGTGAGACTGTTTGGAGAAGTCGATTGAGGCCTCGTGGTGGGGGCTGGGCCACTGTGACTGGTGTCCTTATAAGGAGAAGAGATTGGGACCCAGACACACAGCGGGGCCATGTGAGGGCAGGGAGAAGGTGGAGTAGGAGCCGGAGGAGAGGCTCAGGAGAAACCAGCCCAGCCGCCCGGCCTCAGGCGGGTAGCCCTGGACACGAGGACCCCTCTCGGCTGTCCCCTCCTCTGGTGCTTTGTCATGCTGCCCGGGCTGATGGGTGCAGTTTCCTTCTCTGTCTCTCCACCTCCGCTTCCACCCCAGGTGACGTGGCTGACAGGGGACAGGAGGGGTGTACCAGGTCCCTGTCTGTCCTACTGGGCTGGGCTCCTGGACCCCGGCTCTGCCCTGTGCTAGGTCCTGGGACACCCGGGCACCCGGCTTGCTGGGTTTCCAGGGTGTTTCTGGGACACTGGAGTCTTCGGCTGATTGGATCAGGTGGAGAGACCCGTGTGCCAGGCGTCACCGTCCCCGGCCGGCGTGGGGGGCTCTTGTTTCCCTTCCTTCTTGCCCTCGGCCAGCTGGATGGTGCGCAGTCGGTGTGTCCAGGAGCCCCTCGGTCACCTCCCACCCAGCCTGTCTCTGCACTAGGGAGGGACCCCTTGTCCCTGCCTGCTGAGCTCCAGGACTGAGCCTGTCACCTAGCGAATGGGGTTTTAAACGCTCTCCTGGATCATCCCGTGACACTAGCCCCGACACCTGAGCCTGGAATCTACGAGTGGCAGGGAACCGGGTCCCCCGCCACACTGCCCTCACCAGGGCGGCTGGAGCGCCGGTGCCCGCGTCTGCTGTCCCCTGCCCTCACCTGCCGCTGTGCTCGCTCCTCAGGGAAACTGAAGGAACGCAGGCCACGGCCGGGTCTGTGGCTCAGTAATTGAATCTTGAGCGAAGGTGACAGTCCCTGTGCTGGCCAGGCCCCTCCGGGTTGCTGCTCCCTCTAGGGGACAACATGGCGCCAGCCCCGTGAAGCTCTAGCAAACTTCTCTGTGTGTCAGAATGTCAGCAGGGCGAGTGGGAGGGGCACGCAGGAGGGAGGTGGCCCCAGAGCCTTCCTGGCCCCGCTAAGCTCATGTCCCCAGGACGGGCTCCTCACTGAGCTGCCCGCTCCTCCAGGTGCCCCTCGCCCTCAGCGGGGTCTTCGGTGACTCTTCCATTTTGTGTTCGTAGAATGATCTGGGGGGGGGGCTCCACGTTTCACCCCTGCCCTGTCCTGCTCTTCCTTCTGGTGCGGAACGACCTTGGACTTGGGGTTCTTACTTCGGCATCTCAAAACTCCCCGTGTCTTGCGGTCACCTGCTCCACCTCGGGGGCCTCAGTCGGCAGGTGGCCGGGCCACCCTGGCCCCTCCTGCCTCCTCTGACGCGCAGCCTCCAGTCTCGTCCTTCTCTTGCAGAGAAGCTGGCGGATCGCAAGCTGAACGTGGCTGAGGTGACCCAGTCTGAGATCGGGCAGAAGCAGAAGCTGCAGACAGTTCTGGACGCCGTGTTGGACCTGCTGCGGCCGCACGGCTGGGCGCTGCGGTGGAGTGTGGACTGTGAGTGGCACAGGGAGGGCGTGTCTTTTGGGGATTTGGGGGGTACCAGAGATTGAACCCAGGGGCACTCGACCGCTGAGCCACATCCCAGCCCTATTTTGTGTTGTATTTAGAGACAGGGCCTCACTGAGTTGCTTAGTGCCTCCCTGTTGCCGAGGCTGGCTTTGAACTCACCATCCTCCTCTCTCAGCCTCCTGGGCTGCTGGGATCACAGGCGTGTGCCACCACGCCTGGCAGGGAGGGCGTGTTTGGACGGACCCTTTGCCTCTGCCCATTGCCCCCCACCAAGGCACCTGGCCCTGGAGGTCACAGACCTGCTCGCCCTCCTGCCCCTCGGGAGGGCAGTGCAGAGGGGAGGGGCCAGGGCCACAAAGCGGGGCCACTGGGCACACCCTGAGAGCCTCTGTGTGCCCAGCGCAGAGCAGAGGAGTGGCCCCAGCTGGGCGGGTCAGGGAGACTTCAGGGGCAGAGCCGTCCCCAGGGGCTCTTGTGGGGACTCGACTCCAAACCCCCGGGACCTTCATACTAAGAGAGCTGTTTTACTGAAGGCCCCCAAAGCAAGTCCCCAGGAACTTGGGCCAGCCTCAGGAAAGTGCCACAAGGTGAGCTGGTTGTAGGAGGGTGTGACGTCACAGTGTCCCCAGCCCAGGCACTCAGCGAGAGGGGAGAGCTGACCAACAGAAGCTGGACCATTCTGGTCCATTGCCCCACCCCCTGCAGGGCAGTTGGGGTGCAGAGCTCTCCATGCTGGCCCCTGGCCCTGGGGCCTGGGGAGCTGGGCCCAGGCTGCGGAAAGGGCACCTGCCCTGGCCTGGCCTCTTGGTCTGAGAACTTGGAGAGACCCAGCCTCATGGGCGCAGGGGCCGTGGGTGGGAATGGGCAGAGGTGGCAGCTGCCCGGCCTCGGCCTGCACTCGGGGGGCTGGGGAGAGTGGGCGGCCACAGAGACTGGCCGGGGCCAGGCGGGAGTCCGCATCCAGCATCCCAGAGACTGTCTGCCCTCGAGGGAGAAGTCACTGGGAGCCAAAGATGATGGCGTCATTACTGTGGTGGCCCGTGGCCGTGACCCGTCCTCCTCCCCATTCACTGCTTTAAAAGCCAGGCTGCTTTAGAAAGTGGTTGTACAGGTCACCTAGGGCAGAGGAAGGAAAGAACTAGAAAGGAGAGAGGAGCTCACGCTGGAGCCCCGGCGCTCTGCTGTCCACGGCTGTCCTGTCCTTGCCTCTGAGGTCCGTGGGGACGCCGCCCTGTGGATGGCCGGGTTCCCTGAGCCTCGCTTTCCTCCCTGCCACAGCGATCCACGGGAAGAACCTGGTGGCCATCCTGCACCTCCTCATCGCCCTGGCCACCCACTTCCGGGCCCCCATCCGCCTCCCCGAGCACGTGTCCGTGCAGGTGGTAGTCGTCCGGGTGAGTAGCCAGCGGGTGCGTCCTGCGCGGGGAAGGCAACGTGACGTCCCCTCCCACAGCCTTCCATCTGCAGATTTTCCCTCTCAAGCACCTACCTCTGTGTCTGGCCCTGGCTCCGAGGTGGACGGCGGGGGGGGGGGGGGGGCGGACAATGGCGCTGATTGGAGCAGAGGCAGAGGCTGCAGGGTGTTGAGGTTTAATTTTCCAGATTTTTGAAAAGAACATTCATTTCTCTCCAAAGCCAACTCGTCGGAATTCAATCCCTTGAATGTGCTTATTACTGGAGGAGGCTGGGCCGGCGGGAGGAAATAGATCCCCAAATTAAAGGCTCCGCACATTTGCCGTGGAGCACGTCCCACATCCCCATCATCTCTTTTTTGGGATTCATTTCTCTTGATTCACTGGGAGAAGGACTGGGACCCCCCGGGCCTGCCCCGCCCTCGCTGCTTCCCCCGGTGCTGGGTGCGGGGCCCCGGGGGGTGCAGGCACAGTTTTGTTGGTGAATGTACTGAGCACCTCGCAGGCACCAGGCGCTCGCTGGGCTGCTGGGGACTCGAGATGAGGAGACCCCACTGGGGCCTGAAGGAGCAGCTGCCTCTTCTGTGTCCCTGGAGACGTCCGGCCACGCGTTCTGATTTTTGGACTCACCAGTCCTGTGGCGTCTGTGGTCCGCGAGAACCTGGCTGAGACGCTGTTTTCTGAAGCCGTCTGACCGCCCCGTCACCCCGGGTGCTGGCTTGGCCTGGCTGGAAGGCCCCTCTCTGGCATTCAGCAAAGGTCACCTGCCTGCTCTGCCCGCTTCCTGCCTAAGGAGGATGTCTGTGGCCAGCACAGTGACGTGGGCCCCAGGAGGCCATCCTGCGGTCCCTATCTTGGATGCCTGGTCGCAGGCAGCCGGCCGGGAAAGGCTTCCCGAGGACACGGGGAGCCTGGTTTCCGAGCCCACCTACGTCAGAGTCGGCCGGGCTGGCGCAGGCTCAGCGTCCCGGGTGTCCCCTTTCAGGCTTGCGCTGGGTCCAAGGCAATCTTGGGTTTGCGGAATGTTTGACCCAAGCAAGTATTCGTGGTGCCTTCCGCACTGACCGGGGTTCGAAGGGCCACACCCAGCATGGAGGAAGCGGGGGGGGGGGGGCTCCGAGCTGGCCGCACCGTTGCTCAGAGGCTGGCCTCCTGGCCTCGTTCGAGCCGCCCTGCCTGCCCTGCCATCCCCCCTGGCCTGTCCCTGCACGTCTGGACTTGCTCAGGCGTCTAGTTCGCTAGTCCCAGGAGGGGCCATGCAAGGCCCGTGGGATTTCAAGGATGGAAGAAACAGAGGCCAGGGCCACGTCCACCTCCTACCACAGGGCCTGGATTGTGCCACAGGGTCACTGACCTGCAGCGACTTCCCCACCAGAGTCCACTACCTTTACACTATTCGTCTTTAAGTCTCCAATACTTGGCCCGGGCCCAGCACCCGGTAGGCACCTAGTGCGAGTTTGGTGTGTGAACAAGTGAACAGGATGTCTCTGGCCTCTCCGGGAAAACTCTTCTGAGACTCAATCAGCCTGAGGCCCCGAGCAGGCTGCTGGCCAGGGACAGCCGTTCCTCATTAACAGGGACCAGCCCCAGAGGCTCTGGAGGCCGCGCTCAGGAAGGAGGGAGGCTCAGATCTCGGGTGGGCCCATGGGGGCCGCCGCCTCAGGAAGCGATCCCCCATCCTGCGAGGGGTCTGGGCAGGGGCCTGTGGTGGTGGTGGCATTGAGTGGTCACCCGGGTTCCCCCAGAGCGCCTGCAGCTGTCACCCACAGCCCCCCTCCATGGCCTGTGTACCCGCCCAGCCCCGAGGAGCGGCCGGTGCCCTTGGGTAGCCCCCCGGCTGCTGGGTCAGAGCAGCTGTAAGAGGGGAGGAGGGGCAGGTGGATCAGAGAGCCAGAAGTCTGAGGTCAGGGGTCAGCAGGGCCACCAGACCTCAGAGGGCTCAGGGAGGACCCTGGCCCTCCAGCCTCTGGGGAGCGGGTGCTGTCCCGAGGCTTCCGTCTCACTCTCTCTGCTTTGGTGGACGCGTGGCCTCCCCCGCTCTGCCTCCTCTGTCCTTACGAGGACCCCAGCCGGGCAGGACTCAGGCTCACTGCAGTCCAGCGTGACCTGGTCTTAACTCGCGTCCACAAGGACGGTTTTCAAGGAAAGTCACATTGGAGGCTCTGGGTGGACGTACTTGGGGGACCTGTTCAGCCTGGGAGCTATTTCACTGGGTGTTTCCGGCTGTCACTCCCCATCCTTCAGACACCCTCCGCCCTCCTGGTGGCACACTGAGTCCCTCTGGGGACTCTGAGCCGGGGCGCTTCCTCCAAGACCCCCTCTGAGGCCCGCTGTCAGGCCACACGGGGGACGGTTGCCGTAGGTTCTCCCCGGCGGCCACCTGAAGAGCCCCTGAGCCGTGGGGAGGGAGCTCCTGCCCGGGGACCCTGTGCGTGGGCGAGTCCTCTCACCTCCTCTCTCTGCTTGGCTTCCCGGGGACGAGCAGAAGTGGGAAGGCCTGCTGCACTCCAGCCACGTGTCGGAGGAGCTGACCTCGACCACAGAGTAAGTGGACCGTCCGGCCCTCCAGGCCCTGCGCCCGAGCCAGAGACACCCGTGCCCGAGGGCTGTCCCTGTGTCCCTTGCCCTCCGGGAGCCTTTACCTGCAGGCCATCCTGGCCTCCCCTGCCACACACGCTCCAGCTTCGCCCCCGGAGTCCATGTTCCTTCCTGTAGAGGGCTTTAGGGATGTTGGGTGGGGCTGAAGGTGCAGGAAGGCCCTGGAGACCAGCCCCCCCGGGGACCCATCTGCAGCTCCCTCAGAGGGACGCCACGGGTCCAGGCCCCGCTTGTCTTGGACGAGCGAGGCTCTCTGGGAAGTCCAGAGGGCAACTTCAACTGTCCGAAAGGCTTCAAACCCCTCGGAAGTAGCAGATCCAATAGTCGGTTCTGGGTGGCCGTCAGGACGCCCGCCGAGGACCTCAGAGTTCTCTGCCTCCGCACTGACCTGCTGCAGGTGAGGCAGGAGGTTCAAAGGATCCGTCGTCGGCAGACCCACCAGCTCCGTGCACAGGGAGGGACCGGGGCTGTGGGTTCACGGACAGCCTTTCAAAGCTGGGCCAAGGGGAAACCAGTCCCTCGCTCGCAGCCCGTGAGCTGTCGGGGAAGCTGTCAAGGTGGCTGCGTGGGTGTGGCCTGCCACGCGGCCCCCGGGTGCTCCAAGCCCTCGAGAGGGAACGAGGGGAGCTGGGGGAGGGAGACGTGCTGTGCCCGGCACCGAGGTCCCTGCGCAGCCGGGTGTCCAGCAGTAGAAGCTGCTTGGGAGGAACTGGGATTGGGGTGGCGTCCGGCCACCGACTGTCACCTAGACCCACCTTGGAGCCTGTTCATTTGCTGGCAGTCCGTGGTCAGCGGCTCGGGCTGGGCTCAGCTGGGCGGTTCTCTGGCCAGTCTTGCCAGGGTTGCTGTGTGACTGTGGACATCCGAGGGCCACCATGGGGCTGGGCAGGCCTAAGTGAGTCCAGTAGAGTATTCCCCAGGTCCCCTCAGCACTCAGAGCAAGTGACAGGTCTCCCTGGGCCAGGGGTGGAGACAGACCCCACCCTCGGATCAGGAGAGGCCCAGCCCATTGCTCAGGCAGACGTGCAGCCCTGGACCACGCCATGGCCACCTTTCCCCGCCCCCTACCCCCGAGGATAAAAGGACCAGAGAGGGGGGTCGTGAGCCCTGCAGCCAGCCTGGGTGAAGCCCAGAGGGGAGTAGGGTGGGAAGGTGGCCTCGACATCCACCAGCCATGATCAGCACATGGGGGCCTGATGCCCACCAGCCCCAGCTGGGCACAGAGAGGCTGTTGGACTTGGCTCCTCTCCTGAGAGCTGTGGACCAGGGTGCAGGCAGAGGGCATGTCAGCAGAACGCAGGATCCTGCCCGGGGCAGGTGGCGGGCAGGTGGAGGGGGCAGGTGGAGGGGGCAGGTGGAGGAGCGCGTCCCTGAGGGAGTCTTTAGGGGGATTTGCCTACAGGCCGGCTGAGAGCCAGGGAGCCAGCCGGGCTTTCCCGGGTCTTGGGCTCTTCCGGGAGGGCAGTGCAGGAAGTGGCGAGGTTGTGGTCCCTTCCCAGGCCACGCCGGCCCCATCCCACCAACCTTCTCCTCACCTGCCCACTCCGGGTTGCTCCCTCCGCCCCTCCTCTCCCATGGCCACCGAGGATCTGGGGATCGTCCTGCTGTGGCTGCCTGTCCTCTGGTACCTCTCTCCTCCGTCCTCCTGCGACAACAGAGACCCACGTTTAGGTTGCTGAAGGCATCATGGCCACCGCATCCCGTCTCTGTCCCTTCTGGTCTCTCTTAGCGGCAGCCCTGAGGTCACCCTCTCCAGAAAGCTCCCCTGGGAGGCTCAGGTGTCTGTCTCACCTTTGGAGTCCCGGGCCGGGCCCTCGGTGTTGTCCCTGCAGTGTTTAGTTCTGTGTCTCCCTGCCTGCGCATAGTAGGTGCTTACATCAGCGTCTGTTAAACAAGATGGAACCCGAGCACCGGTGCTACAGGGATCTGGGGAAGAAACAGCTCCACCGCAGCCCCTCAGGACGGTCGCGTGGGGCAGGGCTGTGCCCCGGGCACCGGCGCTTTCCAAACTAGTCGTCCTGGTCCTTCACGGGCTGGCCTCCTCACAGCATGTCCTCAATGACATAGGGCTTGGGGCCATTGCAGCCCTGGACCCTGAGGTCTGTGGCCAAGGCTGCTGGGAGACCTGCAGGAACTGGGTCCCTCCTGTGACTTGTACGCAGCCCCTACAGAGGGCGACTCAGGTGGCTGGCATGCCCACCGAGGGGGTGACCTGCTGCCCGTCTTGTGCAGTGTCAGCCCCTGCACCAGCCCCCTGCGTGTGTCCACAGAGTGGGACAGAAGGGAGCCAGGTGGGATTCGGGTCCCATCAGGGACACTTGAACTGGTCAGCCCTGCCCTGTCATGTTGCTTACTGAACCGCTGATGACCGTCTGACAGCTCTCTCCCCCGCCCCTCTCCGTCTCTCTCCCTCTCTCTGTCTCTCTCTGTCCCTCTCTCTCTCTCTCTGTCCCTCTCTCTCTCTCTCTGTCCCTCTCTCTCTCTCTCTGTCCTCTCTCTCTCTCTCTCTGTCCCTCTCTCTCTCTCTCTGTCCCTCTCTCTCTCTGTCCCTCTATCTCTCTCTCTGTCCCTCTCTCTCTCTGTCTCTGTCCCTCTCTCTCTCTCTCTGTCCCTCTCTCTCTCTCTGTCCCTCTCTCTCTCTCTGTCCCTCTCTCTCTCTCTCTGTCCCTCTCTCTCTCTCTGTCCCTCTCTCTCTCTCTCTGTCCCTCTCTCTCTCTGTCCCTCTCTCTCTGTCTCTCTCTCTCTCTGTCCCTCTCTCTGTCTCTCTCTCTGTCCCTCTCTCTGTCCCTCTCTCTCTCTCCCTCTCTCTCTGTCTCTGTCCCCCTCTCTCTGTCCCTCTCTCTCTCTCTCTCTCTTTCTCTCTCTCTGTCCCTCTCTCTCTCTCTGTATCTTTCTCTGTCTCTTTCTGTCTCTCTCTCTCTCTCTCTCTCTCTCTCTCTGTCCCTCTCTCTCTCTCTCTCTCTCTCTCTGTCCCTCTCTCTCTGTATCTTTCTCTGTCTCTCTCTGTCCCTCTCTCTCTCTCTCTGTCCCTCTCTGTCTCTCTCTCTGTCCCCCTCTCTCCCTGTCCCCCTCTCTCCCTGTCCCCCTCTCTCCCTGTCCCTCCCTGTCCCCCTCCCTCCCTGTCCCCCTCCCTCCCTGTCCCCCTCTCTCCCTGTCCCCCTCCCTCCCTGTCCCCCTCTCTCCCTGTCCCCCTCTCTCCCTCTTCTTGTTGCAGGCAGATGATGGGCCGGTTTGGTGAGTACTGGGGCGCCCTGGGGCTCATGGGTCATCCGGGGAGTGGAGCCAGGGCCATGGGGCACCAGGGCAGGAGGGGCAGGGTGGAGGGAGGGAGGGGACTGCCTGTGTGACCGCGGGTGACTGGGTGGCTCTGGGAGGGAGGGAGGGGCCCTTTGTGGGGTGGGCTTCTCACAGTCTCTGGTTTAACAGCCCTCCCTGGGGTCAGGCCACCGAGGCTCTGGTTCCAGCGGGTGACCTTTCGCTGCCCCTTCATCTCTGTCCCTCACCAGCAATGGGGGAGTAAGGGACAGAGGACCGAGTGACATGAGTGAGGGCCCTGCTCCCCTGCAGCTGGTTTTTCCTGCAAGTTTTCAGGGGTGTCCCAAAGAGGGTCCTGACCACTGGCCCACCCCCCACTCAAGCCTGGGACCCCATCACCAACGAGGGGTGGCAGCACAGGGACCAGCCATGTGTGTCGGTGTTTGAACCCCCGAGGTGGGCAGCCCAGCTGGCCTCCTGGACAGAGCCTCCTGTGGGGGACTTTTCAAACCAGGAGCACTGGCCCCCCAGGGCCTGTTCTCCAGCGGGTGGGGAGGGGCCGGCACTGTCACAAGGAGCAAGGCCCCGGCCCGGCTGGCACAGGTGCGGTCACTGGGGTCCTCGGGTAGGGATGCCCCTGAAGCCCAGCCTTGAGGCTGTTCTGGGGACCAGCCAGCGCCGCGCCCTATGACTTCCCCAAGGCCTGGGGTTCCAGAGAAGGCAGCATACTGTCCCCTGGGCTTCCTCCGGAGACCTCAGGCTGTGCCGGGACTCACTGCCACACGGGATTGTATTCCACCCTTTTTAGTGAAGGAGGAGGGGGAAGGCTGGTCACGGTCACCGAGGGAGACGCTGCAGGAGGGCAGCCCAGGGCCGGCGTGGGGCGCCCGAGAGTGCCCGCCGGGCACCCTGCCCCTTCCTGCTCAGAGCAGCTCAACCCTGGGGTGACACCGGCAGAGGGGCCCAGGCCCTCGCGTCCTCTGCAGCCCGTAGACGCGGCTGTGGGAGGTCACGGAGCATCAGCTTGGTGGGGGCCTCAGGGGGGGGCGGGCCGGGGAGCAGGGGTGGCCGTGGCGCACCTCCCGCGGCCCCCTTCAGCCCGCTGCCCGGGTCTGACCACACACACCGCGGCCTCCGGTGCCGTGGCCTCCCTGCTTGCCCCTTGCAGCTGCCGGGTTCTTTGCACCAACCATTTTTGGGGGTCCTCAGTCTCCCTAATACGTCCCTGCCTGCCTGAGGCCCTCTCAGTGGCCCCGAGGGGTCTCTCTGAGCACCCTTTGCACACCTCCCCTCTGGCCTCCAGGCCCTGCTCCCTTGGGGAGGCTCCACCTGCAGCCCCAGGCCTCCTGCCCAGGCCTCCTGCCCCCTCAGGATTGCTCCATGCTCGTCCCGTCAGCTCCTGGCTCTGATGTCACTTACCCCAGTGACCGCAGGTGCTCCCACCCGCCTCACCTATTGGCCGAGTGCTCTGTGCCCAGGGAGTGTGTAGCTCTTGCCCGTGTCAGTGTCTACACCCGCAGGCCTCCGCGTGCCTGGCAGACGGGGTGGACCTGTGGGCTCCTGCCCCTCCTCCCTGCTCAGGGCTCCTTGAACTGCAAGCGTCCTGCGGGCTGGACGGCACCAGGGCAGCACCCCAGCCCCCACCTAGTGCCCGTGGGCCCGCAGCAGCTCCTAGACACTCTGGGAGCTCCCAGGGCACCAGGTGGCCCCTGGTGACGCTGCTGCTGGGCTTTGCCAGGAGCCCGCTCCTGCCTCTCTGTCCCCAGGGTCCTGCAGAGGTGGGGAGCAGGCTTTTCTCTGGGTGGAAGCGCTCTCCAGGGAGCCGAGGTTGTAGTCTGGTCTCCATGGCGACGGCTGGCTGTGCCTCTTCTCGCTGGCAGCCGCCCCCGCCCCAGCACTGGGCCCTTCCCAGGCTGCAAGAGGACAGGGATGCCGTGTGCTCCCTTCACCTCTCCTCCTCCCTACAGCCTGACCTCGCCCCTCCTGGCCTCCCCGTTTCTGCCAGCAGAGCTGGTCCGAAACTGCAGCCTGACGCTACGGCACTGCCCCACGGCGCCCGCTGCCCCACGGCGCCTGCTGCCCCCGCCGGCTTGCTCACGCCCCCCCACTCTTGGCCTGACTCTGGGCTTCCTCGCCCTCTGTTCCACGTGCTGTCCCCTCCACCCAGAGCGCCGTCCTCCCTCCTCCTCTTGCCCAGAAACCCCCCTCAAACTGCAGGACTCCTTCGTCCTCAGGGAGCACCAAGGGACAGAGGCCAGCCCTGACCTCCTGGACTGGGCTTTCCTGCACTCCCGCCTCCTCTTCCTGGACGGCAGTGGGCAGGGACTGTGCCCAAGGCTTTCATAGCAGGAAGTGGGCTTGGGGAGGAGGAGGCCGTTCACCTCGAAGCCTGTGCACCTTGAAGCCGTGCCTCTGGGATCCGAGCCTGGACCCACCTTTATCCCCACCAGGCACACAGATGTGTGCTGGGTCCTGTGGCTAGTCCCCACTGTCCCCCTTCAGAGCCCTGCAGCCCCTGGTGCAGGTGAGCGGCAGCCAGTGTGGGCGTCCCCTCCTGCCCGGCGGCCTCCCGTGTGGCCTGGCTAAATATACCCGCTGACGTCAAGCGCTCTGCTCCCGGGGCCTCCGTAAGCAGCGTCTAAAGCTGGGTCTTGCCTGGTGAAGTTGAGCCCTTTTTGTGCCCTTAACAGATTGTCTCATGGGGGACAACCTGACTTTGATGACGGTAGAGTCGTTCACATCTGCTGCGGTGGAGGCTGAGGCTGGGAGGCCGGCGGGAGGGCCGTCCAGGCTCTGGGCGGAGGAGGCTTCTGCCCCCGCCCAGGCGCATGTGCAGGCTCCTGGGCCCCAGGAGCTCTGGGCTGGGCGGGCCAGCTGCAGCGTCCACCACCTCCTGTCCCTGGCCCTTGGGTGTCCAGCTCCTTCCCTTAGGGCCTGGCGGATCCTCCCTCCTTCATTGTCCTGTGACAGGTTGGGGGTGACACAGATGCTGGCCTGGCCACCCCCGGGAGGGCAGGGGAGGCCTCCATGCAGGGTTCAGGCCCAAGCCCTGGCTGGAGACAGAGGTGTCTCTGCTGTCCTCGTCCTGAGCACCACCTGCCCCAGGGATCCCGAGGGCAGAAGCCGGAGGCCCCAGGTCCCTTCCACGCGCTGTCTGCCTGCCCTTCTGCCAGCGGCCGTCCCCGCAGCTCTGTGCTCCTGTCCACGTGCCCCCCTCAGGGGTCGCCCAGTCAGCCCCGTGCCCTCCCACGTCCTCAGCCGTCGGGGGCCACCCAGGTGGAGGTCGGAGCAGCCAGGGGCCCTCCCGGGAGGAGGAGGGTGGACGGGCACTGCAGGGGCGTGAGCCACCCGTCCCCGTCCCTGAAGTTGACCCTGCGGACGCAGACTCCCTGGGGATGCTGTCGGGAGCCGCAGGGTCTCAGTTCCTTTGCTCTCTGCACGCTGGGGCCCACCCTTCCCCGAGCAGGAGCCAGACAGTGCAGGAGACAGGCATCCGCGGTCCCAGGTGTGGGGAGTGGATGGTCCAGCAGAAAAGTGCCTCTCAGTGAAAGGACAGCTGGTGGAGGCTGGGAGCCCCTCAGAGGTGCCTAGGGGCGCAAGGCAGTGAGGCAGCCATAGGGCAGGTGCAAAGGCCCCGGGGCAGGCTGTGCCTGTAGCTCGTTGCAGGAGCAGTCAGAGGCCGGTGGGTGGAATGAAGTCAGGGCCTGAGTGTGGAGGGTGCCTGATCCACCCCTTGGCCTACTGGAGGGAGAAGGGCCTCTACTCTAAGCATGGTGAGGAGCTGGGCTCGGTGGTTTGGGCGGGAGGATAAGGAAGGATTCAGGAGCGCTTTAAAGGGGAGGATGGGGAAAAGCCAGAGGCCCGCTGAGCAGGAGGCTGCAGGCGCCCCAGGGTGGGGGCAGCCTGTGTGTGGGCGCAGCTGCTTTGGGGAGGCAGAGGTGACTGGATCGCAGGTAGACAAAAGACGTGGAGGGGGAGAGTTGGGGACGGCTTGAGTGACAGGAGTGGCCGGGCAGCTGTCCCAGTGCCGTCCTGTGGCCCGTGGAGAGCTTCCCGCCCTGTTGAACGGCACCTTGGAGGCGTCCTGTGCGCGCGCCTGGTGTCAGGGCTCCGGGCTCGCCCAGCCTCCTCGAGGGCGCCCCCTTCAGTTCTGGCAGGAATTAGACTCCGGGCGGGCGGGAGCGTCAGGCAGAGCTTCCCGGGGGGGACAGGCCATCAGGGCACGAGTGCCTCCATCAGCCCCTCTCCCGTCCCCTCCTGGCCTGTCTTGCAGAGCGAGACGCCTTCGACACGCTCTTCGATCACGCGCCGGACAAGCTCAACTTGGTGAAGAAGGTGAGCCGGTCCCCCCGCCTCCCCGGCCTCTGTCTCGACGCCTGCTGGGCAGAGCGTGCGTTTGAAACCTGGCCGCGGGACTGGAGCAGAATCAGTCAAAACTGGCCACAGTGCGCAAAGCCAGCACCCCTCAACTCCGCGGTCCGCTCCCTGCGGGGGCAGCTCCCACCCTCCCGCCAGCCTGCGGGCAGTTCCTGGAGACTCCCCCCCAGGGCTTTTCTCAGTGTGGAGTGCTGTCAAGCAGTCACGGCAGTGTCACTGGCCTCCTTACTGCGAAGCCACATTCACAGCCATCAGCCTCTTTGTCTCCAGGCGGGAGCTGGAAGGCCGGGCCTCCCCACCCAGGCATCCTGTTGGCCAGGCCGTGGATGGGAAAGTCCAGCGAGGCTGTGGAGATCTGCTAGGGCGCTGCGCCTCCAGAAGGGATTGGGGCCACCTGGCCGAGGGCCTGGGGACGCCCCACTGGGGAGGCAGCTGTGGGCGGTGAGCCAGGGAGGGAGCTCTCAGGTCAGGACAGCTTCCCCGGATGGATTTCTCAGTGCAGGACTTGTCAGAGCCTTTAATGTGCCACCTGGCATTGCAACTCTCCAAGAAGGAATGGGGTGGACGTGCTTCCCAAGTGGGTTTGGATGGTGAGATTTATGCATCTTCATTTGGGGGCAGGACGTCTTACAGTCCTGTGGAACCCACTTTTGGGAAGTGCCAGCCCAGGCTCAGTGACATCTTTATGTCCTGGAAACGTGACAACAGGCTGTGGGAATCCCCCATGGTCCTCCCAGACGGAGCCTTCCTAGTTTCCTCAGGTCCCAAGTACCGGACCTGGGAGTCCCCGCCCTGCCCCACCCCCCAGCCACTACTGGCCCAGGGACAGAGCAGATGGGTGGACAGTGAGGTAGGAAGGTTCAACCAGAGTCCTCGCCTCCAGGCTGTGTCCTGAGGCAGGTTATGTGGACCCAGCCTCAGTTTCCCACCTGCCTGGTGGGGCCAGGGGCATTGCCCCCTCTCAGGGGCACCGTGACGGTAACCTGGGCCACCTCCGTGTGACTCACGGTGGTCCCTGTGTGGAACGAGTGTGGCCCATGGTTACCTTGCTCCTTTCAGTAGGTGGGGTCAGCGGGGCCACCAGCCAGGGACCAGCGCGATCTGGTGGTCTCCCCCTGACCCCTGCTTCCAAGTGTCCTTCTCAGGCCCACAGTGGGAGTGGCCTGGAGGGAACCGGGGACCCTGCCCCCTGCCGGGCTCCTCCCCAGGCCACCAGCCACAGCGGGCCGCACGTGCCCCGTGTCTGGCACGGGACTTTCTCACTGAGCCCTGGTGGCAGTAGGTACCGGTGGACACCCCACGGGGCCGGTGCTGTCCCCGACGTCCCCTCTTGCTCTGCCTTGCAGTCGCTCATCACTTTTGTGAACAAGCAGCTGAACAAGCTGAACCTGGAGGTGACGGAGCTGGAGACCCAGGTAGGCGGGGTTCGGCCCCCCGGGTCTCTGTCCTGTGCGTCCAGCAGCCCTGAGCCCGGGTGGGGCGGGGACGAGCAGGCGGGAGCCCCTGGGTGCTCCTGGGCTGTGGACACAGGGCCGATCTGCGTCCATGGCCTTCTCTGGGCCTGAACTTGCCCTTTCATAAGGACGCAGCCATGTTGCACTGGCGCCCACCCTGGTGACTTCACGTCAACCTCGTGACCCCTGCAGGGACCCTGTTTCCAAATAAGGTCACGTTCACAGGTCCTGGGGACGAGAACTCCGACATGTCTGTTCTGGGAGAGGGTCCAACTCTCCACACCCTCCGAGGCTGCACCCCACGCTGTCACGCGCCTTTGCACGTGCACGTCCCTCGGGTCTGATGTCCTGCGGTGGAGGCCACTGTTGTCACCTGTGGCCCTGTGACCTGCACCTGGCAAATGCTGAATAATTCCCCTCCAGTGAATGTGGATAAAATATTTCTTCTGCAATAGAATGCACACCTCCCGCCCCAAGATAAAGTGGCGCCGTGAAAATAGGTCCTCAGCCTTGGCAGACAGGACGCAGGCTCCCCGGATTAGTCTGGGGCCTTGGGAGCTGTTGGCACTGACGCCTCTAATGCACAGCTGATCCTTCTTAAGCCCCTGGGCAATTTCTCTCACCCCTTTCTCCTCCTTAGACTTCTCTCATTTGCTTTTCTAATTAAAAAAGTAATTCAGGTTCATTGTAGAAATGCCTGAAAGTGCAGATAAGCAAAACAAATGAAAACCATCCCTAATCCCTTCACCCAGGGCTGCGCCCTGGGCTCTGTGGCGCCCTCCCCCTATCCGCGGGGGCTGAGCGGCAGCCCAGTCTGCACCGGGAAGTCCCCTGGTCCCTTTTCTAAAGCATATATTTGCGCATCAATTGAAAATGCATCCATTATTTCTGGCAATTTGCTAATGCGGCCCCTGCCTGGCAATCTGCAGACCGCGCCTGTCTAGGTGCTGAGTTCAAAGGCGCATTTTCTCAGGTGACGGGGTCCCGCATCAGCTGCTCTGTCGTGTGTTTTGGTCCCTAAATACATCAGCTGCGTCCTCCTTATAAGACAGAGGAGCGCGTCTCTGCCTGGCCTTTCCTCTTGTCCCGTCCACCTGGGGATCTACATTTTCTTGCTCTGAGTTGTCCCCCACTCAGCCAGCCCCTGGTGACACTGGTCTCCCTGGTCTTGCTCCTGGGACCCGAGTACCTCTGTCCAGCCATTTGTACCCTCCTCCATTTCCCGGATTGACTCAGAGAAAGGCAGGCGCCAGGGTCAAGTGGCGGTGTGGGGGCTGCCCCCGCGTCCTGACCGGCGTTCTCAGATGGGCCAGCACCTAGCACCAGAAGCCAGGGTGCCTCAGGCTTGGACTCTGCGCTTCAGTGCACATCCGTCCTCCTTCCCGCAGCGTCCACCCCTGTTTCCAACGTCACGTTGTCTGTAAAGGAGGCGGCGTGTCACCCACCGAGCAGCCGACAGGCTGAGTCCAGGGCCCGGCCAGTGCCGCGACCCCAAAGGACTGTCCCCTGTAAACAGCAGCTTCACACTTTCCGTTTCTTAGTGGCATGTCCCCTGCCGTGGGCCAGGGCAGGCCACCACTGGGTGTCTGTCTGTGGGGGGCTGCGGCAGCCTCAGGCAGGCCTTGGCTCCTCAGAGGTCATTTTCAAAAGATGGCGGGTCCTGCTGCCCCTTGTCCCATCCTCCCACGCCCAGCATCACCTGTACTGAGGGTGGGTGCAGGACGTTTCGGGCCCAGTGGGAAGGGACTCTGGATGCCGGGTGCCACAAAGGCTGGCATCTCCAGGGGCCCCCGGGGGGGATTATCCCAGCCATGGGTGCAGCTGGTACTTAGTGGTGGCCGGAGGGAGAGCCAGCGCACCAGGTGGCCAGTCTGCCCTGCACCTGCACCTGCAGACGCTGATGGGGGGCTTGCTCTTACTGGGGGTCCTGCCCATCCTTGCTGGCCCTCCCCTGAGACCTAGTGTCAGTAACAGGGACAGTTTCAGACTCATAGCCTCAGCCAGGCTGCTGCCCCTGACCCCAGACACTAGCCTCCAGGCACCTGGTCCTACCGGTGCCTTGCCCAGACGTGTGTGTGCATGTGTGTCTGTGCACGCACGTGTGTGTGTCTATGTATGTATGTGTGTCTCTGTGTGTGTCTGTGTCTGTGTCTCTCTGTGTGTGTATGTCTGTGTCTCTGTGTGTGTGTCTGTGTCTCTGTGTGTGTGTCTGTGTCTCTGTGTGTGTGTCTATGTGTGTGAATGTCTGTGTCTGTGTGTGTGTGTTTGTGTGTGAATGTCTGTGTGTGTGTGTGTGTGTTTGTGTGTGTCTGTATCTGTGTCTCTGTGTGAGTGTCTGTATCTGTGTCTCTGTGTGTGTGTGTCTGTGTGTGTATGCGTGTATGTCTGTGTCTGTGTCTGCGTGTGTCTGTCTCCCACCCCCCGTCTCTTTCTCCCCGTCTCTCCCCACTCTGGGGGTCAGGACCTGGGGTGGGAGCTTTGTCCCATCTTTGCCTTGGTTCCAAACCTGCTGCCCGGGTGAGGTGAGGGCTGGATGATTTGGATCATTTCACTGTAAACATTTCTCCTCCCTTGAGTTTGTTAAAGTGTTTGCTGGGAATGTCACCAAGGTGTCCCCTGCAGTTTGCAGATGGCGTTTACCTGGTCCTGCTCATGGGTCTTCTCGAGGACTACTTTGTCCCCCTCCACAACTTCTACCTGACCCCGGAGAGCTTCGACCAGAAGGTACGTGTGCGGTCCCCTCCCGGGTGGCCCAGGACCTGCTGACTGGAACCCTAAGCACTCTCCGCAGCCTCGGGGCGTCTTGAGCAAATGGAAGCCGGGGTTGGGGGGGACGCAGCTCCTGGCAGAAGGACTGAGAAGCCATCGTAGCCTGAGAGGCACCAGAGTTTGTCCTCCACCTTCCCTTTGGGGTCCTTTGCGTGGCCTTCTGTGGCTCTGGTACTTGTGATCCCGGGTCAGATCCTGCCACACATCCCTCGGGTTTTCCTGCTCTTTGTGAGTGTCCCCAGTGCCCTTTGGGCAGCTCTGTGGCCAGCGTTTCCCTTCCCCATTCTTGGGCAGCAACATATTCCCAATGTTTTTCCTACTAAACGATCGGGCAGCTTCTTGAAGAGATGCCGACATCCCTCTGTCCTTAGGAGGTGGGGGCCAGGACCCACGGGGACACCAGTGTCCACCACGCTTTTGTCCTTTATGTAAATGGCGTAGGATTTGCACAGAACCCACCCACAGCCTGTGGTGTGCTCAGATCACCCCTCACACCGCCCCACCCGCTGCCAAGTGAGCGCCAGGGAGACAGAGGCCCTTCGGTGCCCAGGGGGACGTCACTCTGCCCAGAGGTCCCGGTCAGTACTTGGTTTAGCTGCAGGTGCAGAACCTGTGCATCTGTATTTACTCTGTGGATGTTGGCTTAAGAAAACATTCCCAGTAGGATTCTTGGGGCTGTCCTGGGTGGGGGTGCCCATGCCCCCCGCTGGCTTGTCCTTGTGGGCTCCCCCAGCCCAGCCCGCCACGGCAGCCCGAGTGCCTTGCCGTAAACACTTGGCCACGGATGGGCTGGGGTGCCGTGGCTCACGGCATCTGTCACTTTATTTTCTCAAAAGTGCCAGACCCGTGAGTCAGGGAGGCAGACTGTGTGAGCTGGCGGTGGCAGCCTGAGAAGCGGCGGGAACCAGGGCCAGTGTAGACCATCCGCCTGCTCTGGCCCTGCGCGGGCGGCTGCCAAGCGCCCCCAGGTCCTGCCTGCGGAGGTGCAGTCAGAGCAGAGGAGCGGGCTCGGCACGGGGCGTCCTGTCCCACCCGGGGTGGGGGTGGACAGGCACAGGCCGCGGGCGAGCCTGGGAAGTTGAGGCCGCGAGGTTGTGAGGAGGCTGCGCTCAGCCTTGTTCCTGAGAGGTCCCTTCTGTGCTGAGACTCATCAGCTGGCCACACTCTGGTTCAGCGGGATCTGCAGCCGGGTCTCTTGCCAAGACGAGGCTTTATACAAATGTCAGAGGCGCCACCCCTGGCCCCAGCCTTCCTCCCCTGGAATCCAGATGAAAGTCTGCGTCGGTCGCTGCCCTGGCCCGGGAGGCTCCGAGCCTGACTCACCTGTGAATCGGGGAGTGGAGGGGGGCTGGGGGGGCTCTCTGGGCAGCTGCTTGTCCCCTGGAGGAGGGGCCTGCGGCTCTGGGTCCCCAGGGCTGGCTCCTCAGTGGGAGCTCTGGGGTTCTGGTCTTTCCTCACGTCCCTGCCTCCCGTCGTCCTCCTCCTGGGCGAAGGTCCCGAAGCGCTGCTGGCATGTCCCCCGACGATCTGTCTCCTGGTCTGACAGCTGTCTGTGGCCTGGCAGCTTTTCCCATGGGGACTGAGCCACCAGAGGCAGGCTGGTTCTGCCACCTGTGTGCTAGGCACTGCTCCGGTGACAGTGGTGACATGGTTTCCAGTGTCCTGTGCCCCGAGACCACAAGGCACCTTTGGTGTGGCTCTGGGGACCTCGGTAGCAGCTCCACCTTTTCTGGAGGAGGGGCCGAGAGGGTCAGAGAGCAGCGCAGGGGAGGCACCAAGCGCTGCCCCCCCCAGGACGGGGCAGCTCAGCCCAGCAGGGCCCTGCCCCACGGTGGGCGGCGCCCCGTGAGGCCTGGGGACGGTTTGCGGCCTTTGGCTCTACACACTCCAAGCCCCTCGGGCCCTTCGGCCATCTGTGGGGGAGGTTCCACAGAACCTCCCGTCCGTGCAGCGCGGCGTCTGGAGACGTGGAATTTATTCCCCGGAGATCCCAGGGAGGGCCTTGCGGTTCCAGAGTGCGTCCCCCTGTGCCTGGCTGATGAGTCCGCTCTACTAGAGGCGCCGGTCTCAGGGCGACCCCCAGCCAAGGTCGCGGAGTCCCCAGGGGGAGCTGGAAGGGCCGGCTGCACTCGGGAGGTTTTCTAAGACCCTCTGAAGTACGGAGAGAAAGGCCGCGCCTCCAGCCGGACGTGGCCACATGTGGCGGGTCCCACAGCAGCCTCCGTCAAGGGGGCTCTCCGGGCCTCCCAGGAGCTGCCTGCTGGCCTGCGCGTCCACCCAGAGGACAGGGGTGACAGGCCTGGCACGGTGGCCCCTCCTTTCTGCATTGTCTCGGCCGAGGAGGACGCAGAAGCAAATCCCCCCTCAGAACCCACCACCCTCGAGCTGAGGGGCTGCGGGCAGGGTCCTGGGGGGTCTTCCCCGTGGACTCTGCCCTCCGAGGGGTGGGGTGGCCAGGTGTGCCCACTGGGCTTTCCACTGTGACTGCTGCTGGCGTGCGTGCGTACACATGGTGGGGACGTGCGTGGAGCCCTGGTGGTGGCTAGAGGCAGAGGCCCCCGGAGGACAGGTGTGAGCGCTGGACCCGGATGGCCATGCTCGGTGCAGGCTCCATCTCTTCAAGCCTGCACCTCTCTTGGCATGGACGTCCCGCCCCGCCTCAGCCCCGTCTCTGTTCCCAGGGCTCACCCCACCCTTGGGCCCAGAGGCGCAGCCCCCATCCCCAGGTCCTGCCCTTGTCCGTGGGCCTGTCCTGTTTCCATCGGCTGATTCCAGTCTGCCTCCAGGATGGCCAGGGAGCCTCCCAGGGCAGCGCCTCCGGTCATCCCGCCCAGCAAGCCTGTGCACATGGCCCGAATCTCTCGGGGCCACACCCCCGTGCCTGGCCGGGGCTGGCGTGCAGCGGGTGCTTTGCTTCTCTGGGCACCCCAAGCTGGGTGCCACTCCCTGAGGGTGATTTTGCCAAACACCTTTTCCCTGGTTAGTCCTTGATTTTTTTTTGGCACCAGGGATTGAACCCAGCGGTGCTTAACCACTGAGCCACGTCCCCAGCCCTTTTGGTGTTTTATTTTTTTTGAGACAGGGTCTTCCTAAGCTCTTTCAGGGCCTCATTAAGTTGCTGAGGCTGACTTTGAACTCGTAATCCTCCTGCCTCAGCCTCCCAAGTTGCTGGGATAACAGGCGTGTGCCATGCGCCTGACCCCAGTTAATTAGTAACTGGTGCTGGCAGTAAAATCATTATCTGGGGCTGGGGCGGTGGCTCAGTGGTAGAGCACTTGCCTAGCATGTGAGGCTCTGGGTTCAATTCTCAGCATCACATTAAAAAAAAAATGAAGATATTGTGTCCATCTACTGCTAAAAATATATTTTTCTAAACTATCACCTGTTTCTGCTGCACTTACACTGAAATCAGGGGGACATTACTGCTCACGGGGAGTTCGTGGCGCAGGGCCCCCGAGTCCTTCCCAGCTGAGTCCTGTGTGGAGCCTGTGGGTTTGGCGGCAGGTGGGTGCTGGGTGTGGTGTGGCTGACCCCGGACGTTGAGCACAGCCCAGCGGCCCCTGGTCTGCTAGTGACTCTCCAGCAGTCACTAGCAGAAGGAGTGCCTCAAGCCCCTTGGAGCGAGTAGCACTAGACCCTGTGGTCACAGGGAGGAGCCACGCAGGGTAGGACAGCTGCATCGGGCAGCGCTGGGCCAGGCCGACTCTGCAGCCACCCTCCAGCTGACTTCAGTTCCAACAGGGTCCACGGTGCCTGTTCAGGGTTGAGCCCCTGCCGCCTGCAGAGCACCGTGTCCTGCAGTTGACCAGGCCACCCTGTGTGTGCCCACTCCTCACAGCCGCTGCGGCAGTTAGCAGGGGCTGCTTTGTGCAGGGCAGTGCCCAGGACTGGCTGCTCTGCAAGGATCTTGTCCTCCTTGAGCCTCAGTTTCCTCGTCTGTAAAATGGGATCCCTGCCGCTTCTCCTTGTGGGTCTGGGTCTGGGGCAGAGCAGGCACCTGGTCACGAGGCCTCGAGAGCAGGCCCGTGCCTCCCTCCTCCCGTCCCCCAGCCCCAGATGCCTGGTGTGAGGAGGAGTGTACCTTCTCTCTGCTCCCTCCCGGGCTCTGCCACAGGCTCCCTGGGTCCTTGCTCCCTCATGCCCACCCTTGTTCCCGTCACCTCATCAGCGGGTCACGGGCAGGCCCAGTGCAGGTGGCCACAGGTCCTGAACTGATTCTTCCTTGGCAGGTCCACAACGTGTCATTCGCCTTTGAGCTGATGCTGGACGGCGGACTGAGGAGGCCCAAGGCTCGCCCTGAAGGTAATGCCCGGCCCTTGGCAGGAGGCCCTTGGCAGGCTCCCATGTGGCAGGGACGGAAACCAGGACTTAGAAGTGGCTGGACCCTGGACGTCCGTGTCTCCGGCTCATTTCCCCTGTTCGGGGTCCAGGCTGAGCGTGTGGGCAGGGTCAGCAGGGCCAGTTCTGTAAGAGCCTCTTGGTTTTGAAGGACGCGGCCTCTACCTGCAGACCTCAGGGCTGAAGACCTCTGGCCTTGGCCGCTCGGCTGGAAAAGCAGTTTCGTGCCCTGAGAGGACATTAAAGGCTCCCAGATTTAATGGGGCCTCCCGACGGCGGGCAGAGGGCGAGGCTCCTGAGCGGGACGGCACCTTCACATCCCGGCGGGTCTCGGAGGGACGGCCCAGGCAGCCTGAGGGCTCACCCAGCACCCCGCCTGGCTGGAGGTCGTCACCTGTCCCAGAGACCTGAGCCAGCACCTGAGTGGGGGTGGGGGCGCTTCTTAGGGTGCCGACTGAGGTCAGGGTGAGGGTGGACCCAGCAGTTTCCCTTGATATCAAGTTTCCTGGCCTCTGATGCTCCTGGTCTGGGGACCCCAGAACCTGGCACGGCCATGGCATTGGCCGCCTAGTGTCCTGGTCAGTGCAGGAGCTGGGCAGGGGCCCTGGGGGATTCAGGCTGAGCAGCACCCCGTGGCCCTCTTGGGAAGTCGCGGGGTGGGGGGTGCTGAACACCCGAGGCACTGACGGGTCCTGCGTGAAAAAAACCGTGACCTCCATCCCCCCGGGCCCCACAGGAGGACGCCGCAGGGCCAGGAGCTGTGGTCCCGCCTGCACACAGGAGGGCCCTTGGCTGGGAAGACCTCGCCTTATCTGGCGGTTCACAGGGGCCTGGGAGCCCACAGGGACACCCAGCGCATCTGGGGAGAGGCTGGGTTCGTGGGGCCCCAGGAGGGACTCCCGTCCTGCTGTGGGAGCCACATGGTCCTGTGGGTACCAGGGTCTGGTGGGGCACCCCAATGTGGCTTTTGAAGCCTTTTGATGTCAGATCTGGGGCAGCTGAGGGGGTGTAAGTCCTGTGACCCCGTGAGGGTGGGTTCTGTCAGGACAGGGAGCAGGGTGCTGGCTTACACCTGCACGTGTCCCCATGTTGGCCGCCTGATCTCTGTGGCCTCTGCCCTCCCCACTGCACCTACCCTGGCTTTTGGGGGCTGGGGTGACCCAGGGGGCCAGGGGCTCTGGGCCCCCCACAGAGTACTGGAGCTCCCTCAGGTAGGCAAGCCATTCCCGGCCGCCATCTTGGTCTTCTCATCTGCAAACGGGGGAGGGCAGGAGGCCGTGCCAGTGACCCACCTGGACAAGCTGGGACCCCAGGTCCCGGGAAGGTGGTAGGCCAGAGCCGACTGCGCCTGCCGTGTGTGGCTCTCAGGACTAGTTACCCACAGGGCTGGTGCAGGGTGGCCCTCGACATAGGGGGCTGAGCTGAGGGCCTTCAGCATCACTGGGTCAAGAGGAGAGGAGGCGGGAGCCCAGACCATCCAAGTCACGCATGCGAGGCCACAGAGCATGTGAGAAGAGCCAGGTGCCCAACTCCCAACAAGGTCCCCTCCCCACCGAAGACAGCAGCCCACACTTAGAGTCCATGGGTCCGTGCGTGTTATTGGAGTTGGCCTTCCATCCGGGAAGTGCCCTTGGCCACCTGCCCACCCATCCTTGAACATGTCCTGATACAGATCCCAGGAGGCCTGTGTGCTTGTCTCCACAAAAGGTGGTGGCCCTGGTGGGGGCTCTCCACGCAGCCTGTGTGTCCGGGGATGATCACGCCGGGGTCTCCTGCATGCGCCGGCCAGTAGCCTCATGCCGAAGCGCTCAGCTGTGCCCATGGTGGCTGAGAGCCCGTGGTGACCCCAGGCAGGGCACATTCTCTCCTCTGCCAACGGTGTCTCTGTGTCCTTCTGCAGATGTGGTGAACCTTGACCTCAAGTCCACCCTGCGGGTGCTGTACAACCTGTTCACCAAGTACAAGAACGTGGAGTGACAGGGACCCCAGACGGCGCGGGACGGTCGGGGCAAGAGAAGCGGGGCCCATGCCCCAGGCCCAGGCCCTTCTCAGGGAGACGCCCTGCTCCGCCCCGGCTGTGTGGCCCCTCCCATCCCTGCCTGCTTTGGTGGCCATTCACCTGCTTTCCTTGCAACCCTCCAGTGGCCAAGACCTCGGAAAATGCAGCCTCTAGACACGGCTGGGCTCCGGGTCTCCCTCCCTCCCTCCCTCCGGGCAGGCCGAGGGGTTGACTGTGTTGTCAAAAGATGACACGGAGGAGCTCGGGCCCAACCTCCGCTGGCCGCGCTGCCGCTCCCACTGGTGGCCTGGTCTCTCCGTCCACCCTGGCTGTGCGGGGCTCGGGCATTTCCCTGCCCTTGGACGAGGGGCCTTTTTGACAAAAGAGTTTTGCAATTAAAAAACTCAACTCTCACGTCCCCGGAACCCTGGGTGTGACACAGTGTCCTCCCTCCCTCTGGTTCCCGTGACTTCTTGGCCACTCTGTGTTCTTACTGACCTTTAGCGTGAGCTCCCAGGACCTGTGCCCTGCCACAGGCAGAGGGAGGATTGGCTGGGGGCGTTCCTTGGCTTCCTGCAGCGGCCCAGGGCTGGTCAGGAGTTGGCTGGAGGCGGCTTGATCCCGAGGCCCGTCTGGGATGGCCCTTCGGGGATGGCCCGTCGGGGATGGCGACCTGTTCCTTTGCTAGGCCCGCAGGGCGGGAGGCTCAGAGTACAGAGGATCCACGTCCCGTAGCTTGGAAGCCAAGGTCGAGGGGCCAGGTGGCCTCGTCCTTGGCCGCGTCTCCCTGGTCTTCATAGGTCCCCCTCTGCCAGCGTCTCTGTTAAGGACACAAGTCACACGAGGCAGGGCCTGCCCACATGACCTCATTTCCTTGTTACCTCTTTAAGGCCCATGTCCAGATGTGGTCACACTACAGCCCTGGGCTTTGGGGCTGAATTTAGGGGACACGATACAGCCCATGAGGGGGGCATGCAGTGTCCATCTCTGTCCTCACGGTGCTCCCGTGGCATCTCCCTCTCTGTGTCACCTAGTTAAGCTCTTCGCCCTGGTCACCTCGGCTTGGAGAGGAATGGCGTCCCCTCAGCTGTGTTCTCTGGCCGGGCCCTGGCCGCAGGGCGTCCTGCTCTGTGGCATGCCCTGGCCCTTCCCCTGCTGTCTCCTCCTGGCCCCTGCCCGGCCAGCCCCCTCTCCAAGCTCTGTGTGCTCATTAGCGACAGGAGGACAGGCCTCTCCACCTCTTAGACCCCCGCCCCCTGCAGACCGGGGCTGGGGGTCAGGGTTGATGTTGATTGAAGGTCGGGCTGAAGGCTGAGAATGCTCTGAATGTCCTCCCTGGCTCAGTTGCTAGGCTGGGATGGGTTGAGAAGAGCATTTTGATGGAGGTGGTTTCCCAGCAGGAGAAAGAAATAATTAAAACGGCGTTACGGCGTCTCCTGCGGGATGCAGTGACATTAAAGACCTCCTTGACAAAATATCCGGGGCCGGAACGTTCCGCGCTGCCTTCATGACTCGCACAGAGTCCTAGCCGCCAGGGCCGGTGGCCTGGACCCGCCCGGCCTTGCTCTCAGGCGGGCCTGGGGGGGCGTTGCTCATCCCCAGGGTTTTCGGGGGCGAGGGGGACGGAGATGAGGATCTGGAGAGCGCACCTGTGGCCTCTTAGCCAACTCGGGCAGCTTCAGCCTGATCCACGTCATCCAGGGGGAGGACGTGGTCAGCGGGAGAGGCTTCAGCTTCTGAAGCAGCCCCTAAAGCCCTGCTGGACACTCGCCTAGCCTCAGGTCAGGCCACTCCCCACTCTTCCCTTTCAAGAAGGACACTTTGAGGGGCCGCGGATGTGCGGGAGCCGGGCAGGCGGCTGGCTCACAGCAGGACCGGTAAAGGCTGAGGTTTAGGAGGCAGGGTCTCTCCTGGGGCTGTGGGTGCAGACGACCTGCAGGGTCCCTTCAGGTCTCCTTGTTCTTGATCCCTGCCCGGCCTGGGTGGGAGAGGGAGGGCCGGCTCTGAGGGCCCCTGTGCCGGGAAGTTCTGGAAGTTCTGGAAGGTTCTTCCTCCTTCCAGGCCACATCCTCATGATGATTTTTCTCTGAAGAGGGGCCTGGCCCATGGCAGCGAGGTGAAGGCAAGGCCATTTGTGTCCACCCGTGGGGGCAAAGGCGTGGACAGCCCCTGCACAAGGAGTCCCGGGTTCCCAGGCTCCTGGGCGGGGGCTGGTCCGGCCCCTGGCCTGGCCACCTGCAGCTGTGGCCCCTTCCCACGTGGCCTTGTGCAAGCCTGACCCCCCCCCCCCCCCCCCCGTGTCCTGCGGCTGTGGTGGAGGGCGGTTTTATTTTGGAATAGCTGAATCCTCTGTTCCTTTGTGTGCCGCTGTGTTATTGTCTTTTTAATTGTTCAAAGGACGTTTCCTTTGGATTTCTGGATATTAAATAAAAAAGCCCTGGCTGTGCTTTGATCAGACCCGCCTGGCTGACAGCAGGAAGCCATGCTGCTTGCGACATGAAGGCCCAGCGCCTCCGAGCGGGAGCTGTGGCTGGGGAAGTGCCCGAGGCGCCTCGCGTGCTGTTATTTATTCCAATAAAGGGCCGCTCGGCCGCCTGCTCTTTTGGCTGCTATTTTTCTCTTCCGTGCACTTAGAAGTTGCTGCCCGGCTGCCCAGTGCTGGGCCCACGTGACTCCACAGCCCCGCCTGCTGGGCCCTCTGGCCAGAACTGGACCACTGCTGGCCCTGGGCACAGGCTGGATAAATCGGCCACTGCTGTGGAGGGGACAGGAAGTCACGAAGCCTCGTGTGCTAACTAGTGAGTGACCACCCTTGACTCTGGGGCAGGGGACCCAGGTAACCGGCAGCGGTGGCCTAAACTTGGTGATCTACACCAGCCCCACCTCCAACCCTCCTGGGCAGAAGTCCTGGGACACCGCAGGAGCCTAGGACTGCTACAGCTGTGGCCAGCCCTGGGTGGGCAGCAGGACGGCCAGGTAGCAGTGCTATTTAAGAAACAGAAAATGACAGATGGGGGCTGTGAGAAGATGGTCCGAGACGCACACAGGGTGGAGTCCAAGTTTGTCCCTGGGTGGCCGCCGGTAGGTCAGCTCACCCGGGCCTTCCAGCGCAGGGCTCTGAGGGATAGTTCAGCCTCCCGCCCTCAAAACCAGCCGTCCCCACCTGTGCTGCCCTCAGGGATGTGTAGCAGGGTCTGGGGACAGTGCTGGTCGTCACAATTCAGGAAAGGTGTGCTGCTGGCCTGCTCTGATGAGGCCAGCAAAGAGCCATCCTGCCCAGATGCCCGTGGTGCTGCGGCTTGGAAGCCCTGAGCCAGCCCGTGTCCACTGCCTGTGTGTGTGGGGGGTTCCCTGTTAATATGGAGGAGGACGGAACCGTTCCCCTCCGTGCTGGTTCTTTGAGGCCAGCAGTGGTGAGCGGCTCTCCAGAGAGCTTGCTGGCCCTGTTCAGAGGGCATTTTGCTCAGGGTCTGGTTCGTGCAGACCTGGGCAAGCGGACAGACCTTGCCCCTGGACTGAGCCCTGCAGGTGAGCCGCAGTGACGAAGGACACCTCAGGGAGTCCAAGGAGGCCAGCCGAGGAGCCCAGGGCCCCAGGCCGGCTCCAGACCTGCGCTGAGCCTTTCTCTTAAAAGTCGTTCTGTCGCCTTCTGGGTGGACACCTTTGCTCTCAGGGCCCTTAGGAGCCCCCAGTCCAGCCGTCCTCTCGCTGTGGGAGGGTCTTTGCAGGAGGGGTCCCCTCCTTGCCTTGCAGCCCAGGGAGCAGGCCTCAGAGTGGAGAGGAGGCAGAGACCTCAGAGTGGAGAGGAGGCTCAGCACTACGGCTGGCCCCACCTCGGCCGCTGCAGGGTGGACACTCGCTGCTCTTCCAGGACCTGGACTTGTGGGGAAGCTCGGCTCTAAGTGGAAACTCCGTCCTTGGAGTTTTAATTGATCCCATGAGTTGTCACTGCTGGGGGGGCAGGCTCTCCCCGGGCCACAGAGCGGGGGACCCGGAGCCTCACCCCTCAGGACCCCAGCACGCGCTGGGTATTTACCAAGTGCCTGCTTCATGCCAAGCCCCAGGCTAGGCGCCCCAGGGTGCAGCAGGGGACAGGGCCTGGAGACTCTGGAGACAGGAGGCGGAGGACAAGCAGGGTGCCTGCCGGGTGGAGTGGAGCCGATGGCTCTGGGACGGGCGAGTGAGAGGCCTGAGGGCAGAGCAGGGCACCAGGTCGCCTCCAAGGCCCACGTCACTTTCAAGGCCACATGGCCTTTGCTGATCCGGTGATCTGGTGGACTGGCTCTAGATTCTCTTCCCCACACCAACTTTTTAAAACGAATCGACTAGTGGAACAGGAGGCAAGCCCCCGGGAGGAAGGCCGGGTCACCCAGGGGCAGGCTCCAGGGCAGGCTCTGGCGGCTGTGACGCCATGACAGTGGTGGTGTGGTGAGGAACAGTGTGTGACGGTGAGCCGAGCACATCCCTGCATCCCTAATGACGGGGTGAGAATAAGGACTTTTTTCTCTTAATGGTTTTTTTTTTTAAATTTATTTAATTTTTAGAAAGTTTGGTGGGGGGGATACTGGGGATTGAACCCAGGGGTGCTCCAACACTGAGCCACATCCCCAGCCCCTTTTACTTTTTTAAGTAATTTTTTAGTTGTTGATGGACCTTTATTTCATTTGCTTATTTTTATGTGGTGCTGGAAATTGAACCAGGGCCTCACAAGTACGAGGCAAGCGCTCTATGGCTGAGCTACAACTCCCAGCCTTTTAAAAAATTTTTTATTTGGAGACAGGGTCTCACTAAGTTGCTGAGTCTAGCCTTGAATTTAGGATCCTCCTGCCTCAGCCTCCCAAGCAGCTGGGATCCCGGGTGCAGGATCACCAGCGCGCTCCGCCCCACCTGGCCCTCGTGGCTTATTTTTATACAGTATCAAAGGAGAGCTGGAGGCAGAGACCAGGGGTGGTACCTAGAGCCTGTGAATGTTGCCATCGCTCCACGTCGCTCCACGCGGGGCTTCACCCTCTTCTCCTTGTATCTCTGTGCCCCTCTCTTGAAATAATAACCATGTGTGTCTTTCCACCCACGTTGCCTTGTTTACCCGAGTGCGCCATCTCCCCCACGTTACTCAGAGTGTTACACACCACCTCCCTCTGCGCCTGGGTCTGTTTCCTAGCAGCACTCTCACGTGACACAGCACAGGTGTCCTGATCAGCAGATGGGGCGGCATGAGCTAACTGCCACCTGGGCTGTATTCAGCCGTCTCCATCACGTCCTTCATCCCCAGGGCAGAGACGGGTCGTGCATTACCATCGGACCTTGGGCTGTTGGAGGCTTCATGCACCTTGGGGCAGAGGTGTTCTCAGCGCATCACTGGGGGACATGCCGTGTTGCTTTGTCCTTTAGGAGGCTCATTTCGATGACTTTGTTAAGATCGGGTCATCAGTTTGAACTTGGACTATATACCCCTCTTTTTGATGGACAGGTACTTATGGGAAAAGAGTTTTTGGCTATGGAGTTACGTTTCCTCCAGAAAGAACCAGAAAACTAAAGACAGGAAGCCGTGGTTTGAGGCATTAGATGAGAAGCAGACCAGGCCTGAGAGCCCTAGGAACAGAGAGGGAGCAAGGTGACCCAGGTGCTGCACAGTCCAGCTCTCCACATAAAACTGTGCTGTCCAACCTTCAATACAAACGCCTAGACATGTAGGGACCAAGAAACAACAACAAGAGGGTGACTTAGAGCCAGCGGGGGAATAGTCAATAAGAGGAACCAAAGAGTGACAGATGGTGGGTTCCACAGCCCGCTGACCAGGACGCTTTAAAAGTGTTAATGTCTTGAAAGACTGTTCTATATCCAAGGGCTCTACAAGTCACGAGTCACCAAAAATCACAGCAGCATGTGGTCTCTGATTGGACCCTTGAGTAATAAACACATGTGCACATGTGTGCACAAACATGCGTGTGCACACACACGCGGTGATAAAAGGCATTTTGAGCACTTGGCAAATCCGTATATGAGTGAAATGTTAAGAAAACATGTCATGGTAGATTTCTTGGGTGTCCTAATGTTCAGTGTCGTGTAGGAGAGGGTCCTTGTTCTCAGGTTCTGAGGTAGGTGGAGATGAGTGAGAAGACCTCTGCAATTTATTTACTTCAAGACGTTTTAGTTGGGAAAAACCCACAACATAAAAAGTTGCCATTTCTTCCACCTTTCGATGTGCAGCGCGGTGGGGTGGGGTGGGGCAGGCTTAAAACAGGAACTGGGTCGTGGCGGGGCCCCAGCTGTGCCCCAGCTCACAGAAATAACCAGGGGCTGTGAGGCCCCCCTCAGCCCCTGGTCTGCCTCTCATGTTTGCAGCGGGGTCACCAGGGCCAGGTGGAGGACTCTGGGCACTTCCTCCAGAGCTGGGACCACTGGGCAGCCCCGCAGGTTACTCTGAGCAAGGGCTGGAGGGTCCCAAGTGAGCTGCCTTTGAGATCCGAAGGGTCTCTGTCATCAAGCGCTGAGCCTCTCCTTTGGGTGGTGCTGGGGTCAACCGCAGGCCCTGTGCCCGCTAGGCAGCCACTGTGCCCCGGGCCACACCCCAGCCCCACACCTTTGCTGGTTGTCAGAGATGCAAGGTGAGGCTCCTGAAACTTCACTGGGGAGGGCTCAGCCCTGTTGCCAGACAAGTAGGTCCCCAGAGAGTTTCCAGGTGGCTAGATTAGCATGTCCCCACCAGGCATCCAGAACAGTGCCTCCCACTCTTTGTCACCTCATGGAACATGTGCAGAGTGACAGAGTTTGCACGGCATACTGATGGACAGATGAAGTGGCTCTGGGCTGTGGATGAGTAGCCAGCTGGGAGCTCTGACTGCCCCAGGGCCAGGGGAGCCCCACGCTGGGACCCCTGCACACGCGAGGCTGGCTGGATGGCGTCAGCTGACCACAGGTGGCCCCAGGAGGGCTGACGTGGTCTCTCCACAATGAGATCTCAGCGCCCACAGTTTACGTAGCTCCGGGCAGGAAAGCGCCTGCTCTCCCTGCCGACTCCGCGCGCCTGTGTGTACTTCGATGGAGCAAAATGTGCTTGTGAAGCCAGAATTAAGGACAGGCAGTCAGTGTAGACGGGATCAGGTGATCCGGTCGTAGACAGGGGAGAAGAAAGCTGATTTGGCCTGGGAGTCGGAGCCAGCCTCTGGGAACGCTGCTGCCTCAGAGCCCTTCCCCCACCCGTTACCAAGGTTACCTGCCTGAACCTCCCAAAAGGCGTTCAGGAAGCACCTCCTGGGCTCCCTTCCTGCGGCAATCAGCCCACCACTCGGCCCTTCCCATGGCTCATTTGCTTCCCACCTTTCAGCGCGTCCCCAGGAGGGTTCTCGCAGGGTGGAGAGAGGTCAAGGAGAAGAGGACAAAGAGAATCTAAAACTGATAAAGGCACAGGACACGCCCACTTCTTTGGATACCAACTCTGGGTCCCCTTCCCTGCCGAGAAGTCTGTGTCACTAGTCTTTAAATAAAACTTGCTGTCTTTGCTTGCCCCAGCGTTTCTCTTCTGATGTTCAAACTTCAACACCTGCAGAAACAGAACTCGTCATCACCATCACGGGCATCGCTCGCTAGCTGAGCGCTGCACACAGGGCCCAGGGCTGCTGTGGACGTGCTGTGCTGACTGTGTCTGTAGGTGACTGTGTCCTTCACTCCCCGGGGAGACAACTCGAGGTACCTCTTTGAATAACCCAGTAGGAGACAGTCAAACCTCGGCAAGGTACTCAGCCAGTGAGGATCTGGGGGGGATCTTGCGCCCCAGGAAATAGTCACTGCCCTGGGCGTGCCTGCTCCCCAGATGCCCCATCTTGCAAGATCATCAGTAAAAGCCTGGCTCTGGTCACACCTCCTGCCTCCTAGTCGTCCCCTGGGTGTGGTCAGCCACTGCTCCTCGGCCTCTGCATTTTGGAATGACCCCAACCCCCTGAGCTCAGGGAGCCCAGGCACATCTCACAGTCACTGCGGCACTTCCCAGGGCGACCTCTGGACCCTCCTCCAGGAATCGCCACCGTCCCGTCACTCACTCAGCACTGACCAGGCTGAGCCCACTTTCAGCCACCAACTGTCAAGCAGTGGAGCCCCTGGTGGCTCCTGCCAGCGCCCAGCGCCCAGTCCCTCCTGCGAGAGCGCTGCGGCAGCAGCTCCTTCAACGCCCACTCCCGACCCCCCTGAAACCCAGTCCTGCACCTTTCCCACCTCCTCTGCGGACATAAATTAGCAAACGCTGGCAATTTTTTTAAAAAGCACTCTACTTTTAGGCGAGGCCTGTTGCTGGTCCAGCCAGGACAGTGTGAACTGACCGCAGGAATACACATGTCCGAGGTTGTGGGAGTGATGGGGTGGGGGAGGGGAGGAAGGGACATCTCCAGGCTGGGGGCACTGGGAGGCATCACGGTGGTTCTCCCCCAGGGAAGGGCTGCTTCTGCTGAGAAGAGTTCCCCCTGGCGCTCGAGCCTGGCTCCTCGCAGCCGCTGTTCTGTCTTCCCAATGCCCCTTCTTTCCTTCTGCCCTTCGCACCGAAGGCTCAGCGGCTGCGGGTTTAGCCGTGTCCTAATTCCACATCACACAGGATTAGATCCCACGTCTGATTTTCAGCTCCGTCCTCCCGGCCGCTCCAAGAGATAAGAGTTCCTTCTGAGCCATCACAAAAGTCCCTGGTGCTCTAAACATGCCCGAGCTGAACTGAGAATTTAAAGCCCCGGAACGGCTCTTTTCTTGTGTTAAACCTTTGGTTTACAATCAAAAGCCAGCTCGCCCTGCTGTCCTCCAATTCCCGTCCTCCCCTTGGAAGCCGCAGCTCCCCTGCGCAGCTGGGACCTCACCACCACTCAGAGCCGAGCAGTCACAGGGGAGCATGTTGGCCCCCAAGGGCCGCCATCTGCAGAGCTCCTCTCTCCATAACTGGAGGACACAGTACCTGCTGCTGTGTCTGGTGACCTGTCCTGTCTCAGCTGGATTCCTGCCCACCAGGGAGTAGCTGGCCCTGGTGGAGGTCAGGCTCTCTCCAGCGGCTCCCAGAGCAGTTTCTGAAATGGCCTTCCTGGGCCCTCTGACCCTGGGCCCCACACACGGCTGAGCTGGGGCTCCGCCTTCTCCCACCTTCCTCACTGGGTTCAGGGACCCCGATCCAGGCCCTTCAGTTCCTGCATTTGAAAGCAGGTGGGTGAAGCCCTCTGATGTGCTGCTGGGGCCGGGATCCAGGTTCAGAGGCTGCCACCAGGACCATGGGACCCGGAGCCAGGCTGAGCCTTCTCCCAACCCCCGTGACACAGGTCCCAATGGGGCTTTCTCTCTCCCTGGGTCCTTGTGAGCCCCAGTCCTGCCCGGGGACCTTGGAATGGCACAGACTGTTGGGGAGCCCTGGTTTCTTCCTTGGTGTGGGCTGATGGTGGACCCTGCTCCACGGCAGGTTCCGGGCACTCAGCGCGCTCACCACCGCGTCGGTCTCCTCCTCAGCAGTCGGGGGAATGAGCGGGGATCCTGCGTGTCATCACCCTCATGCCCACCGCCCTGCTCTTCCGCCTGCCTGATCTGGCCACTTCTCTGATCTCTTGGCCAAGACAGGGTGGCTTGTCTCCTGGTCCCCAGCATGGTTGCTGGTCACTGTGGAAACTCACAGTCCATCTGGTCATGAAGATTTAAGCTCAGAGACCAGCCCAGGTCTCAGGTGTTCTCCGGCAAACCCGCTGTGCTGGGGTCTCTCCCGAACCCCCCGAGGCTCTGTGTGTGCTGCTTCCAGGGCCTCCGGGGTCCCTCCGGGGTCTCTAACCTGCAGACTCCTGTTCAGCCACCGAGGCCCTGTCCCCTCTAGGAAGTTGCCCTCATCCCCTCAGCAATAATAGTCACCAGTTTATCCCTTGAGCCCACCTTGTGCGTGGGTTGTTCTGGGCTTTGGCACCACCGGGCAAAAGAGAGCCGCCCTGCCCTTGCAGAACCCCCGCCCCCAGGTGGAGACCTGTCTCAAACACCAGCCTGCGGCCCCCGCTGAGCGACGGTGTGGTCACAGGCCAAGAGCTGGGAGAGAGGGGCTGACGAGGAGCCTTCAGGGGCCCTGGTAAGAATCCCAGGGAGGACCTACCTGAGAGAGCAGGAGGCTTCCTGGAGGAGGGGGCACCGAGGTCCAAGTGCAGAGCCGGGCAGGGCTTCCAGGCAGGGAAGAGTCAGAGCTGCCAAGTAGGGCACCGAGGGAACAGGAGGGGGTCAGCAGGGCTGAAGGGTGGAGGGCAGAGAGGTCAGGGGAGAGGATGAGAGCTGTGGCCAGCAGGGTTGGAGGACCCTGGGACTTGCAGGTGCAGGGGAGGGGAGGAGGCCTGGGGTCAGAGGTGGAGCAGAGGGACAGTCTGCTGGTGGCTGGGGTGTGGGATGCCGACCCCCACCCCCCGCAGGTCCTGGCCTCAAAAGCTGCCCCTGGGAGGTGGGGAGAGGGGAGGGAGTGGCTTGGTTTGGGCGCAGGAGGGGAGGAGGTCAGGTCGGAAATGCCCCGTTGGAGGTGCCTGCGAGGCCGGGGCTGGGAGCCAGGCTGGTGGTGGGGCCCGGGCTCCCGTGGGCTCCTGCAGCCTGGTCCTCCCAGCGCCCTCCTGGCCCGCAGCACAGAGGAGGAAGCTCCCCACGGCCACCGCCACCAGCAGAGCAGGCCCCAGAGGAAGTGCGCAGGGCCCCTGCCGCCCCCGCAGGGCCCCGCCACCCACCCGCCCAGGAAGCGGAACCTGCCTCTCCCAGCAGCAGAGGACCCTCGGGGAGGCCTGATCTCCCGTGTACAGGAGGCGCCAGGTGAGTCCCTGCATCTGGGCCTGGGGAAGGCCTCGGCCGCTGGAACCCCTGCCTGTCCACGTGCCTGGGAGCCAGATCAGGGCCACTTGGGAAGGAGCCCGCCTGGCTGAGGCTGCCCGGGCTGGGAGGGCAGAGGTCAACACCGAGGCCCTCCCACCATCGCGCCTAGAGGCTGCCTCACCCCCTCCCCATCTCACGGAGGACCTGCTGAGACTCCAGGGACCCTGCTGTGCCTCTCCCTGTACCAGGGAGACGTTCCCTGACCCCCCTGGCCTCTCTCAGCTTCATGCAGTCCTGGGGGAGAAAGGCGACCCCCCTTCTGGGAAGCCACTGAGGCTGGGGCAGAAGAGAGCCTTGCCCAGGGCTGCTGGCCACTAGAGACAGTCCACGTCTGTGTCCCCTCAGTCACCTTGGTCCAGCATTGAGTCCAGCCCCTCCTTGTCAAGATGAATGAGGACCAGAGAGGGGAGGGGATTTGTCTGAGGTCACACAGCCAGCGTGAGGAGGAGCCTGCCTGGAACCCAGGCCTCCCGAGCCCAGGCCAGGGCTTTTTCCCCTCTTGCAGCTGTGGCCCAGGCTGCATCTGAGTGTCCCCTGGACATGGGAATTGTGGGGCCAGTGTAGTGCCCCCTGCCCCACTTCAGAGCAGGGCCACTGTGAGCCCAAAGAGGGGGGTTCCAGGGCCCTCAAGTCCCCTACCTCCCCAGGGCGCAGGTGGGGGCTCCCTGCCTGGACCCCCGTGGGTGCCCTGCCCACCCGGCTGTCTGAGAGAGTCTGGAAAGGGGGGGAGCAGGGGCTGGAGAGAGAGGGGGGAGGCTGCTGGCCCTCAGCAACTGGAATCAGAGACAGGAAGAGGGTTGGGGAACCGGAAGGGCCCGTAGCAGTGACAACAAGGAGTCTGGCCCTCCCCGAAGAGCATCTGCCTGGAGTCCTGAGACCTCGCTCCCTGAGAGGCCCAGGGTGCTGGGGAGAGTCCTGCTGGTCCACCCAAGCTGCAGGGTGGGGACGGCCTGGGGGCTTGGGCTGGGCCCCTCCCTCCAGCCCCCTCTGCTCAGCCTGCCCTGGGCCCAGAAGCCCCGTTGGCATGCTCCACCGCAGGAGCTAACATCTGGGATGTCATCCATCAGTGCCATCTGCCAGCCCACACGCAGGCCGGCCCCCTGCTGAGCCGGGGGTGGGGGTTCTGAGCTCTGAGGAACTGGCTGAGCTGGCTCTGCCGGCTGCTGGGGAGGGGGAGCCCACCGGGCCCTGCCGGCCTGGGAGGGCTGCTCGGCACCCACAGTGGGGGGCGGGGAGGACCCACTCCACAAACCTTTCCTGGTGTGTCCTCGATCCTGTGCTTAGGCCTCCTGCCCACCTGGGACCCCATCCCTTCACCTGGGCCCGCATGGTGACCTGTCCACCTGGAGCTGAACTCCACCCCCCCCCCAGCCTCCTGGGCAGGAGCAAATGATAGATAAGCACAGAGTGAGTTTAGGGCTCTGGGACTTGACACCCTCTGTCCCCTGCGTCCTCCAGGGCAAGCCAGAGAGAAGATGGAGCCAGAGTCCCTGTACAACCTGCTGCAGCTCCCCAGCGAGGTGGCCCTGCCCACGGAGGAGCAGCTCCCACAAGGTGCGCCCAAGTGGCTGAGGGCTGGGGCCGGGGCCGAGGGTGAGGGTCTGTGTCACAAGGGATTGCTTCCTGGGGTGTCATCCGGGCTCCCAAGCTGCTGCCCTGCCTCTGCCTCACTTAGGCTGGACCCAGCTCTGCTTCTGGAACCTTCCACAGCCCGCTGCACCCACCGCAGGGCCTCCTGTGCCGCTAAAGCTGGCGCCAGCCCAACGAGCACGGCTGGCGCTGAGAGCTTCTGCCCAGAGCTTTGTTCCCAAGAGTGGGTGCCATTGCCACCTTTTACAGAAGAGGACCCTGAGGCCCGGGGAGCCATGTCCTGTAACTCAGCTAGTGAGGATGGAGCTGGCCCCCAGACAAGGAGGGGCCGCAGGACCCAGGGTCCACCCTCCACGCCGTGCCGCCTCCCCAGGGTCCCGTGGCCTGGAGGGTGAGGGGCTGTAGGTCTGCCCCTTCACACAGTGGGTCTCTTCCAAAGGTGGGTGGGCACAGGACCCCAGCGATCCCAACCGCGGGGCTGAGCATGGCCCCTGAAGTCTCCCTCCTAGAAGTCGCCCCAAACAGCACACTGCCAGGCACACAGCGCTGCGCACGCCCGTGTGCCCAAACGGAAAGTCCCACACCGCCACACGCCAGGCGGCAGGCCTGGCCTGGGGGGGAGGGCCCTCGGTGAGCCCAGGACGGAGCCGGTCCCCACAGCAGAAGCACTGGGCAAGGCCAGGCCAGGCCAGCGGGGACAGCAGGAGAAGACAGCAGAGCGCTGACCCTGTGAACACAGCTGGCAACGTGGGCGCCACGGGGACAGAACCCCCGTGCCAAGAGGGTCCCGGGGGTGGGTGGGCCAGGCCCCAAGGAAGGACGGCTCTGTTCCCAGTCAGCTGGCCAACTTCCTGTCTGTCTGCTGTCCCTCCTGGTTTATGAGCCCCGGAGCCTGGAAAGCATCACAAGGAAGACGGCTGAGTTGGGTGGTAGGGCTTAGAAACTTGAAATAAATATTTACTTTCTGTTTTACAGTTGACTTAGAGACACCTACAGTTCCACAACACAGAGCTAGGACTCGAGATGATCAGGAATCCTGGGAACCCGCTCCAGGAGGGCGGTCCCACATCCACCCATCACCCACCCACCCACCCATCTACCCACCTATCCACCCACCCACTCAACCATTCACCCTCCTATCCACCCACCCACCCACCCATCCACCTTCCCATCCACCCACCCATCCACCCATCCATCCATCTACCCAATCACCCATTCATCACCCATCTACCCACACATCACCCATCCACCTACCCATCCACCCACTCATCCGTGTACCCACCCATCCATCCATCACCCATCTACCCACACATCCACCCACCCACCCATCTATCCATCTACCCATCTACCCATCCATCCATCCACTCAATCACCCATCCATCTACCCATCCACCCACCCATCTATCCATCCATCCACCCACCCATTCATCCATCACCCATCTACCCATCCACCCACCTACCCATCTATCTACCATCTACCCATCCACCCACCCATCCACCTACCCACCCATCTATCTATCCATCCACCCACCCATTCATCCATCACCCATCTACCCATCCACCCACCTACCCATCTATCTACCATCCACCCACCCACCCACCACCCATCCATCTTTCCTTCCTTCCTTCCATCTACTCTCCCACCCACCCTTCCCTCACTTGCTCACCCAGGAGATCCTCGGGGTTGGGAAGGGTGGGGGGTTTGGGGTTTCTAGCCAGTCCCCGGGGGCCAGGCTGCACTGTGAGCTGAGGCGCGGCGGCCGTGTGCTGACTCCGTGTCCCCCACATGTCGGGGCCAGCTGACCTTGGAGGTCCGCAGGCCTCACATCTTGTGGGCCCTGGGGTCTAAAATGCCGGGGAGCTGCTGATGGAGGCCTCAGAGGAGGGAGCCATGGGGCCTCAGAGGGCGTGGGCTGGTCTCAGTGCCCGACGCGGCAGGGCAGCCAGGGCAGTGTCCACCGTGGCCCTTGGAGCTGGTGAGGCCACGGGTGAGCTGAGGTTTCACCAGAGTGAAGGGCAGGGCTGCCAGATGAGGCGCAGGACACCCGGTTACGTTTGAACTTCACGTAAACAGGCAATAAACTCTGAATTTAGGCAGGACCCAAAACACAAAGCTCGCCGCCTCTGGGGCTGAGCTGGTGCTCGCGGGGGACCTGAGCAGAGGGCGTTCGAGGTGAGGTGCAGGACAAGTCCCCCGGGGCCCAGGCCCCAGCTCTGCGGTGACCATCAGGGAGACCATCATGCCCACCTCTGTTTCCAGGAGCAAAGAAGAAATACCTGACCCCCAGTTCCCGGAAGGACCCCAAGTTTGAAGAACTGCAAAAGGTAGGGCAGCCCTCAGCACCGGCGCTCGGGGGTCCGTCCCCTGCCTGGCACTTGCCTCCACCTGGGGACAGCGGGCTGCCCTCTCCCTTCCTTGGCCTCTGACTGACAGGGGGGACCCGTAGGCCCTGGAGACCTGCTGAAGGCCGAGCGCCAACCTGTGCCTGGCACACCCCATCCACCTCATGACTGTCGATGGGGACTTCTGTCACCTGTGTCCCAGGGAGAGGTAGCAGACTGGGTGGGCCACCCAGCTCGCCGTGACACAGCTAGGGTCTGATTCAGGCCCTCAGCCTTGGTCCTATTTCCCACTTGGCCACCCAAGGCAGAGGGGAGCTGGTGGCCGGTGGGTGTGGGCCTGGGCCACCCATTCTCGTTCTCGGCTTGGCCATGGGTCCTGCTGCTGGCCCGGCTGGCGTTGGTGGGCTGGGCCTCCCCTTCCCCAGTCTCTGCGCAGCCATCTGTCGCCTTCTCCAGGGCGGCCTCCCGGGCCTCCACCTTCTGTGCCCTGCGGCTCCGTGGACCTTCCCCCCCCCTCCACCCCTTCCCGCCTGCCACCGCGCACAGCCCGCTGGCCCTGGGTCCTAGAGAAGAGCCCCCCTGGCCCACAGCCTTCTGGGTTTGGGTCCCCGGAAGCTGGTCGTGAGCTGTGGATTTGGGTTGGGGGTCATCCCAGATGTGGAAGGAAGGGGCCAGCGCAGAGAGGGACGGATGGTCATGGCCATGGGGACTCAAGCCTGTGTCCCAAGAGTCAGCTCAGTGCAGAGGCCCCAGTGTCCCACCTGGTGCCTCGTATCATCACCTGCTGTGACCTGTCCCCACAGGGTTGGGCCTCCAGGGACAGCCCCAGGCAGAGCTGTGGGGGCAGCTGGCCAGTGACACCTCCATGGTGAAGCTTGGGGTGGGGCTGGAGGAGGACATCAGCAGCCCTGTGCCCGCCCTGTGCCAGCCGTGACATGTCACCCCCAACCAGGCGGCCTAGAGCGGGGGGAACGCAACCAGAAGTCCCACTTGCAGTCTCACAGGAGTCTGGGGGACAGCCCGTGCCTGTGTCAGGATGCAGGCCCTCCCTGGCTGTGGAGTGGGCTCCAGTCAGTGCTGACCCCACACTGCCCCGTGTTCCAGCAGACATCCCCCCTTCCCAGAAGCACCTGAGAGCCCTGCCCCAGCTCCACAGGCATGTCCTCATCCGCCCACAGGTGACTGTTACTGTCACTCGTGAAGATACCCACAGTGCTCTCGTGTGGTGGAGAGATCCGGGGTCTGTGGAGCCCAGAGTGACCCTGGCGTGTGGGGTCAGGGGCTGCAGAGGAGGTGACTTGGCCAGACCTTGGAGGGTGGCCCACTGGCAGGTGGGGGGAGCCACCAGGCTGAGGTTGCGGCCAGCGGGTGACCCGGGCGTCCCCTGCCCTCAGGTGCTGGTGGAGTGGATCAACGCCGCCCTCCTCCCCGAGCACGTGGTGGTGCGCAGCCTGGAGGAGGACATGTTCGACGGGCTCATCCTGCACCACCTGTTCCGTGAGTGGCTCCCCAACCAGCGGGCCCCCACACCGTCCTTCCCTGACATTGTACCCACGGTGGCCTCCAGGGAAGGAACGCCAGGGCCCTACCTAGAAGGGCCCCAGCTGGGAGGAGGAGGCCTGCCCCCCAGGGCAGCCCAGGGGCAGAGCTGGGGACCGGGCCTCCCTGGGCTGAACTCCCTCAGCACCACCCGCCTCGCCAGCATTTACTGAGCACCAGCTGGTTTTTAGGGGCCGGGAGCTAATGAGGAAGCCCACCGCACCTGCCCTCGGGCTGTCCTGAGGGCTGGAGAGAGGACAGGCCGCCCTGGGCGAGGTGCCCAGCTGTCGGAGGGGTGCCTAGGTCAGGGCCATCTCCCTAGGCTCCCAGGGGCCTGGTGACTTGTCCAAAACCTCACAGTTAGAAGAGCAGTGTGGGGGAGGGGTCAGGGACGAGCCTCGAGCGTAGGCTTTAACCATCAGGCCACACTGCCCTGCGGAAATGAAGCGTCTGCTGTGGGAGGCTGGGGGGCCAGCGCCCGGGTGAGGTGGGCAGCGGGCTGGGAGGGCTGTGCTCTGCTCATGCCACGTGGCGTGAGTGCCCCTTTAGACGGTGGCCCATGTGGACAGGGCTCTCCCAGGAGGCTGAGGAGCACAGCCTGCGGAGGCTCTGGTGAGGTCCCGGGATCTGCGCCCCCAGTGTGCCCAGGCCTGTGCTGTCCCAGCTCAGCCATGGCCCTGCCACCGTCCCGGGCCCTCACCACCCTCTCCTGCCTCAGAGAAGCTGGCGGGACTCAGGCTGCAGGTGGAGGAGATCGCCCTGACCGCCGCGAGTCAGAGGCGCAAGCTGGAGGTCGTCCTGGGGGCCGTGAACCGGGCTCTGCAGGTGGAGGAGCCGCAGGCCAAGTGGAGCGTGGA